TATTAAAAACAAGTGAGTTCAAAACGGTGGCGAACATTCATGAAAGCGATGGATCTCATGGTACCTTGAAGCATGCGCATGCCCAGGCATTACTTTTGAGGATGAAAAGAAAACGTGGTTGAAGAAAAACTCGAAAAAGAGCTGTAATATAAAAGACGAAATAAAAGATTTGAAATAGCCCTGATGAAATGGCTTAATCCTATTTGTATATCTGTGTGTTTGTGTGGGTGTTTGCGCGCGTGCGGGGGTTGGGATAGGGCGATGGAACATGTTTTGGACTGGTTTCAATTTCAGATCTCTTATCTGTTGTTTACACTATGTTATTTACGTATAAACGCAAATATGTACATTTTAATAAATTAAAACTTTTGACGCACAATACACCATCAGTGTTGAAAGTGCGGTTTTTATTTGGATGGTAGCAGTAGAAAGGTGGGGGGGGGGGGGGGGGGGGGGGCGGAGGGTGAAGATAGAATTGGTATTTTTCGAAATACCAATGCACACTTTCTTAGTTCAAGAGCAGTGTTTCTCAAATGAAATGAACTCAATGATTTCATACAATAAGTCTTTTATTTGAAATAATATTCCTGACTTGGGAGAGTTTGTTTTGAGGGAGAATTATGCCGAAAATGAGGTACTTGAAAATGGACATCAGTTGGCTGGGGTATCGGCCAGTGCAAACACATGCATGTTTCACCGGATTTCATTTGTCTACATTTGTGAATGTACAATAACTAAAAGCAAAAACTCAAGTCAGACATTTTCCTTGGTACGCTTAGCATTTTATTCAATAGACTTTAATAGCACAAATTTAAATCAACTTCAGTTTTGTGCTTTTAAATCTAAAAGAAAAAATGTTTAATTTTTAAACAAATAAACCACTTATGATATCCTTTTTTCATATTTCCATTGATTTTGGAAACTTCTTTGTATTCCTTTAATATGTTCCAAAATACTAATGTCTGATAGCCCTCCCGCTGACAACTTCGTTTGCAGTGTCATTAAGATCGCATTCACAACGAGCCTGGCTCAACTCATTGTGAATGCGATCTTAGACAGAGAATGAACATCACTTTTGACAGAGATAAACATTACTTCCGGCCAGTTTATTACCCAATGTAATCTAATTTGCATATAGGAGAAAAAATACAGTTTTTACTTGATTTTGAGTTGTGTGCACATTTTCCATTATCCATAAAAAGCAATGTATCCTTACGCTAAAAAAATCATATGAAAGATTTGATCGACGTGTGCTGTTTATTAATCAAATCAATATAAGTAACTTTCATATCACAAATGTGCATCACGTTTTCACGCCTAAGTCATAAAAAATGTCAAATAGCGAAGATAACTATGCTGGCCCAAAGTAGATAATTTCCCGTTTTAAAATCCCATATGATTATCGATTTTTGGGGCAAAGACAAAGACGGTTGGGGGGGGGGGGGGGGGGGGGAGAGAGAGAGCAGAACAGTTCCTTTCGTGATCCCAATAAGAAATACCCTTAACATATGTTCAAAGTGATGAAGGAAAGAACTCTACTTTCCAGAAGAGACCAGTGTAGTGACGACGCCAATATTCTATGGGCAAATTATCGCAGGACTCACAGTACAGAAATGTGCTTTTTGAAACACATCTTCGAACATCTAGTGAAAAAATCAATCTATAGTGGTAAAATGGGTGGTAAAAATGGTAGGTGGTAAAAATGGTAGGGGACAACATGGCACTGCTTAATCTACGTATGCACAAGTTCAACCTGTACTATATTTCATTCATTGGTTTCCTAGGTCAGGCTAGACAAAACTGATAAGTTGGTTAAAGAGCATGTCTAACCTTAACTTTGGTTAAAAATTAGATTCTTTCTTTTTGTTTCTTTTTTCAATGGGAAAAATGTATTGGTTTGCTAAGTAAGAAAATTTTACAATTGACCACAGGGAACACTTATGTGCATGTTTTCATGCTTTAAATTCACCTAAAAAAACAACCCACCTTTGATATGCCTAGTAAACATCATGTTTAATAACAAAAGTTAATTTAAAAAATTCACGCACTGAAACCATGCCAGTAGCCATAAATTAACCAATTTTTAAATTTTGCCTGACCTTACTAGATCTTTACCATTTACTACAGGAATCAATATGCATCATATAATATATTTATATGATGCATATTATATAAATATATTATATGATGCATATTGATTCCTGTAGTAAATATGCATCATATAATATATTTATTTAAACCTAAACTTGAAATTAATGTTTTATTAATATTCATGTATTCTAATTATCTACAACATTTCTGTGTTTAAGACATATTGCAGAATGGATGGGTAACCACAGAATGGACTGTATACATATATTTAAGACAGACATGTGAACAGTTGCTAAAACTGCACTTCTCAAAACAAAACATTAAATATTGATCGATGGAAACAAATACCTAACACTGTACAGTGTAATACAGTCTCCTTGGCATGTAATTGCTGAGTGAATTAGTCCTAGAGTTTTAATACAAAGAGTAGAAATGCATTTTATTTTTAAGGCCCATCAAGAGTGCTGGGAAGCTGGTATTTTTGGCCCAGTTCTCAGAGAAGCACAACTGTGGCAGAGGTGGAGTTAACCCAGTATTATCTGTCTGACACAGAGGGGGGAGCTCATGAAGTAACTTTGCATCAGAAAGACTCCATATTCTTGATATGCTGTCACTCCCAACTGAAACAATGATAGAATGTTTGGAATAAGATTTGAAAAGAAAACAACAATTAAAAGGAATTGGATACATTTGCATTATGTACATGTATCTCTGTTTCTTTGTTTTAATTACTTTTACTTGAAGATATAACATCTTAAACCCTGAAGCATATCTTTTAGTAAGAAGAGACTTGGTTCTTGAACACACACACACACACACACACACACACACACACACACACACACACATCAGAATTACACCACAAATACTTCATTCTACCAGTAACAACAGTTTGAGCCAATCTTCCTCCTTCATCACATTTCACACAAAATGGACACATCAATATTGATCAAAACAAAATACCTGCACAGATGAAATTTTCCCTGTCATCAACTGAGAACTGCAGCCTGAAGTACTGGTTCTTGTGTCTTGGGTACTCATGCACCACTCGTCTCTTCCTCAGGTCCCACAGAGCAAGCTGAAATGCAAGGTACATGTAGGTCATGTTTTCTGATGTATTTTTAAATACAATTAAAAACTATTCAAACTACCTTTGAAATAAGGGAAAACCCATCTAATAATTCATACCATGAATTCGCTTGTTTAATAAAAGTGTGAGGTGCTAAACAATCAGTGAATCCCTATTCCCATCAAACAAAAGGCTATTTTCTGCTGAATACAGTGGCTTTCATATCACATTTCTGAAGACATGAAAAATATTCCAAACTCACTTTTCCAGGAAAGTTTCCAGCAAGTAAGTAATTCTCATCCTTGAGCAGTTTCAGGCAACACACACCCTTGCCCTGTGGCAGAGAGTACACATAACGAGTGGAGATACTCCTCAAGTCATGACATAATACACAGCCTGGGTTCTTGGTGCCACTGTACAGTAGTGTACCATTCTAAAATATATATGTCATTAAAAGATGTATCGATATCTTAACAGGCCCATAAAAGCTAGACCTTCATATACTGAAAGTTCATTTTTTATGGAATAAACTATCTTCTTATTAGACATGCATGTTATAGGTTTTGCGCTCCCATACCATTTTTTACCAAATGCTGAAGATAATTTATTTTAGTTTAAAAAATAGAAAAACATTAAAAACATTTTGCAAATTTTTCACTGTTTTGACTTCACAGAAGAATTGTTATAAGTATCCTTTTAAAGGCAACAATTTCAAGCAGATGTTATCTCACTAACCTCAGTAAAAGTTTGTGACAGTATATCATTGTTTTTACTGTGTAGTTCCCACAGTTTCCTTGTCTCCACATCCACCAACAATCCACATTTTTCCGAGCCAACAGAGAACCGTTTCGTGTATTGACACCAGGCACAGCACCATAGGGCCTTGAAACCTAGATTAAAGTCCACAAACCTAGCCCTCTCTTCAACACTAGTGAATTCCAAGTCTTTGAACAAAGCAAGGCTGGGATGGTCCATGTTCAGGTGTCCTATTGTTGTGTACAATATGCGACATTGGTTATTATGATTATCATTATTATTTTCACGTGAGAGTGGTGCCCAGCAAGCACTTGTTACCTTAGCACTACTCTGTATAGAAGCACCTGTTGGTGTCACTGTACAAGGGGACGCCATTTTTGTCACCTTTGGGTTGATATCTATCTTCAGAGACTGAATTCTCATGGTCATGGAGTACCTACTGGACCACACACACAGTAGTTTGTCTCTTTCATAGTTAGGCACCATGCTTACAATAGAATCAAAAGAGGCATACTGGGACATTAAGGGCTGGTGGGTAATTTTCTGCTTTCCACAATACTTGAGATTGGACATACTACTGGTCAAGACTGACCGTTGAAAATGGACATCTGAGCTTAAACCAGTCCTCATTTCATCTAGCAGAGTCACCAAATTAACTGACTTCTCTCGTTTTTTGATTGTTTGAAGTAGGTCAGACTTTCTTTGCTCTTCTCTTAATTTCAGATATTTTTCTTTTTGTTGCTCCTCCACTTTCAGTTTTACAACATCCTCTGTAACAAGGCTTGAGGTAGTTGAGCCTCTTGGGTTATTATGCCCTGGTAGAATTCGGAAATATTTCTTTTTTTCTCTGTCATAATAAAATCCAGGAATCTGTGACAATAGTTAAGGCTCTATTATTATCAAATAAATAATTTAATATGCAACCATAACATCATTTTACAATCAGCCTAAATTTTTTTTTTAATTTATTGACTCGAAATCAGGCAGAGGAGTAATGTACAACACTTGTATGCTCAAAATGTTAAATATAATTTAACATGTATTATCTTCGACCAATATTACACAAACATGTTATAAAGGATATCTAATTCATCATCTTCCCTTGATGTGGAAGCCCCTGCTGTCGATTCATCTTTACATGTCATACTCCCTGAAATGATACAGCAGTACTGTAAGTTATTTATGCCGCGTGTTTGATAGTAATATACAAATAGAAATAATTTCCAAATTTTCAAAAAAAAAAAAAAAAAAAATGGATTGATTATCATATATTCAGGGATTTTTGGTGAATAATGGTAAATAATGAATCCAAGAGATATCCAATGCATTAATCATTTACCCGCATAGCATTCCAAGGTCCAAAACTGTTGCAATCTGGAAAACTCCTGTTCCAGAGATCAGGATTTTTTTTCTCACTTCTATATAATGGTTGATATGAAACCTGTAGGTGTGATATGTGTTTTACCACATTTTAAATAACTGAGCTGATTAGCTGATTAACAAGATTATATTTACTAGTACTATAATACCTTTGTTTCTTCCACGACACATTTCGACTCCTTTGGCTTTGGTTTTTTCGTGTCCAGTCTCCTTTCTCTTACCAGGTGTTTCGTGTGATCCACCCCTTGGCCCATCACATGTTGGACATCTCTTCCTAGCTTTACTGGTACCTGTCCACTGACACTTACACCTCTGTTCTGGATCAGAACGGCCCTGGTCAGAATAATGCTTATTTTGTCGTGATGCCATAACTTGCAAGATTTTATGTGTGACGACTTCGACTAAAGTTATTAGATTTTAGTAATTTACCAGATGATAATTTTCTGTGTTTTATCACTACTTGTAGAATGTGAGAAGCACATTTAATTGATGAAATTGAAGAAAAATCTGTTCGAATGCTCTACGGCCGTGAAGGAAGAGAGGCAGTCGCCATGGGCGCTGACATGTTGGATGTATAGAAAACCAAGCTTTATTTCCCTTTTTATAGTAATAAGAACAAAGAAAAAATATAGTTTTGGGTACAATATATTTTTTCTTGTAAACTTAATAAAATATCTAATACATATTCGTCATTTTTTTAAAAGAGCTACTTCAAAAGGTTGAATGTTTTCCTAACAATTTGTATTCAATTTGTTCCTTCAAAATCTTTACTTTATTGACATTGACATCCGGCAGCATGGCAGGCAAAACAGCAGACCCGTTCGTGAAAGTTTCGTACGATTCAGGATCTGATGGAGATATTGAAAGTGATGTGGACCCTTCAGGTAGATGCATTATATAGTCAGTATGTAAAAAATACCCGTGGTGATTATTATTATATTTTGCTGACATACGAAAACGCACTGTACTCTATTGTACAATCTTTGCAACTTGCCTCAAGTTGTGGTATTGAATTTCTCGTCTGGTCGACACGTACTTTTTTTTTTGTAATTTTAAAAGTTAATTAAGATGGCAATATGTCTAAATATGAAGAAACTGTTGGAATGCTTGAGCTTTCTCATTAAGATTTTTAAATATAATGGCACCATGTCTGTGATTTGTTTTAATACGACACGTACAGAAATGAGTGAAAAGTTGCCCCCCACCCTTGATTTTCACGCACTTAATAATTATCATAGAAACTTGAAGTTTGGCACATAATAAGTTATCGCGCTCAGCAGATAATGCAGTGCTTTTACGACATGCTGTGAGACATGTACACAGTGCAGATATTGCCATCTTAAAATAGTAACAAAAAAGCTTTTTGGGGGCTTCATTCATTTTTTTTATTATGGCACAGCAAACAAAGGTCCATAATCCTGTTATCCAGCTGATTTATATTCATTTTCATTTAAAGCAGACAGGGAGGATGAAGTTATTGGAGGAATATCACATTATAGAGTTGTATTTTATTTTGTTTTCAGATGATGGACCAAGTGGAACAGAAGTGGAAGAACTGGAAAATAAATCCAATGGATTGGTGGAAAATGGTAACAAGAAATCTACAGCAGTAGGATGGGCAGATGCAATGACAAAAATTTTACAGAAACAAATACCAAAGTCAAAACCTGTAATCCTTGCTAAAGCAAAAACAGATAAACAGATATATCTGAATAAAAGAACTATTGAAAATAAAACTGATGTAGACTCTGACTTGGCTGTGGATTCTAAAAATAAAGCAGTTACTAGAACAGTGAAAGAAAAGATTAGAGAAGAACAAGCAGAAATCAGAGAAAGAAAATTAAAAGTAAGTGATAAGGCGAATATTTATGTATTATTTCTGTAATCGAAATATGGAAAGTGGAAAAATCAAATTGTAATTTAACAATCATTATTCGTTTTTATGATAATTTATTATTATTATTATTATTATTATTTTGATTTATTATTTTAAATGTGTGATAAAAAAAAACTTTTTATGGATTGTTAGGTCATGTATTCAATGTACAATTTTAGAAACGACTCTGGGAAGAAATGAACAGGGTTAAACCAGACATATTGGAAAAAGAAAAAGAGAGAAGTTTACAAAGGATTGCACAAAGGTAAAATGTCATTTTTATACAATCAAATACATAAATAAGTGATGAAAAATAATAGTGTTGATAATATTGATAAATATTGCCATAATGTTGATATTGGCTGATAGGTGTTTACTCTCAGTATTTAATTTTCAACCATTATCTTCCACTGCTGAATTATATATTTAATTATATATATATATATATAATAAAAATATATATGATACCTTTTCCAAGGATAAACCTCAAATTTGTTAGCTACATTGTACGCAAAACCCTTACCATTGTCAATTTTTTATAGGGGGGTTGTACAGCTTTTCAATGCGGTACGGAAACAACAAAAGGATCTTGAGGATAAACTGAAAGAAGCTGGCTCAACTGAAGGAAAGAGAGAGAAGGTGATGAAGTCCGTAACACCTGGTGCTTTTTTAGATGTCCTGAAAGGCACAGAATCCAGTAAAGGGGCCAAGAAAGGGGACAGCAAAAAGGTAATGATTTCACTAATTATTTAGTTTTTTACATATTAAAGAAATGAAGGCATTGTGGTGAAAAAAAAGGTTTTTACCTGGCAGCAACTATAACCATTCATACAAACTGTATCCTTGAAGAGGAGAATATATGAAGAGACTTTTTTGCCATTTTTGTTTAATGTGCTAAATTACTTATTGTAATTTAAAGAAATGTTTTTATTTTTCAATTATCTTAAGAGTATTGCTATATCTGTATATTTTGTGTTCACCTGTCTCTTCATGCTGTTGTCATGACTGTTGCTGTCGTCTACACTCATGTAAGAAAATGTCAGACTGTCAGTGATAAATGAATTTAATTCAGTTGATTATAACTTTGAAGTTATGAAAAGTTTTTAAAAATATGGAAGTTGTGATGATACAGGAAACTGTATTGAAATTATGGTTGGTCAGAAAACCACAACAGATTGTGAATAGTTCAAAGAGTTGCTATTTTTTAGACGGGCCATGTCTGTTGTTCAGGTGAAAAAAGTTGGATCATGTTAAAAAAATAATTCAAGAAATCATTCAGCCATCAGTCTTGTCAGGATGTCATTGAATCTTTTTCTTTAAATATCTTTGTTTTATGTCTCTAGATGCACCTTCTGCAGTATCTAGTTTAGGTAACTAAAACATTCTAATTGATTATTTCAGGCCAAAATGGAGCTGGATGTCCCTACTACAGAGCCAGAAAGTCCGTCCTGGAAAGTGTTAAGGGATGACTTTATGATGGGAGCAAAGATGAAGGACTGGGACCAGAAAGCTGACAGTGATGATAATGATGACAATGAAAAGTCTTGAAAATGTTAATGAACAGCCTCTTGGAAAATAAAATGTACATCTGTTTATTTATCTTAAATACATACCTCTCCTTGTAAGAAGTATCTATATATATATTGGTATGTTCATATGGGAACATATCTATTACTGCATGAAGAACTTATTTGAATTTTCAAGGAATGAAGATTCACTTTATGGAAATACAAAAAAATGACTACTTTAGAATTCTACAGTCACATGTCACATGCTAGTGATAAACAAATTTCACTGGAGCTTGTGTTACACTACAACATATAATTCAGCAACAAGGTGAACATTTACCTTTTTCTATAGAAAGTGAAACTGATAAAGTAATTGTCTACTTCAGTAAAAATTTTGTTGATTTTATTCAAGTTCTACACGAGCTGAAGTTGTACATTCATTGTGTATATTCTGCAAAATATTTTGAAAGAATTACAACTGTAAAGGAAGTTTAATAAATGTACAGTATACAATGTGCATAATTATACATTAAACTTGTAACTTTGGGTCTTTCTGTTTCAAATGTAAGGTTAGGTATCCCAGGAGATCCCATAATATATCTTTTAATGAAAATGTCCAGTATTTTTGTACATCTTTGAGAAGTATAATAGAAATAATATATATAGTGATCTTATTATGGATTAGCACTGACCAGTTGAAAAATGAAAAAAAAAAAGTTGCAAAATGCCACTTTATACTTGCCAAATGAGACATTTTGACTCATTCATTTGAAGGATTTTTGTCTATGTTCAATGTTTAGTTATCTTGAGGCTCAAATTCTTTAGCATAAAAAAGCTCCGCAGGCCTGTCATACGTACTTGTACATATTTCAGTTTTCAATTTTTCTATCTCAGATTTTCTCATGCCACCCAAAGTTTTTTCTACCGCATTCGATTATCTCTAAATTCATTTAATCTTTATAATTTGGATTAGTTTTGAAAAAAAAAAAACTTTGCAGAACAACATCAAAACTCGAAAAATAAGCTGCCTGCCTTTAGTTGCTTAGATCTACTATGCAATAAGTTAGTCGCCTTTAAGCAAGACAGGCTAGGCTAACGTAGATTCGGTTTCGTGCAAGTATCCTTTTCAAAAGCGGAAATGAAAATAATGAAAGCATTTCTGGCAACATAAAATGGATTTATGTGTTTCGTCTCAATCAGTCGCTGCTGATCAGGTAGGAAAAGATCTATTCAAGGAAGCGTACAAGTTCTATGCGAGACGAAAACCTCCTCCTGATTTCAAGGATGTCATTGATTTTCGAGAAACAAAAAATCATGTTGAGGTAGGTGGTGGCAGTGTTATTGAAATGCATTGGCCCCGATATGTTTACTTACTTAATTTGAACAGTCTTCATTCTTCTTAAAATAATTTTGTTAAGCTTTTATGTGCACCTGTGTGTTTCTAGTAGGATGGGGTATGCGCACCTCAATTATCACATCTCGGGGTATTTTTGTTGGTATGTTTATTGAACTCTGTTCTGTAGTTGAATTGACTGATGATAAGCCAAGGTCATCCAGGTCCTCCAGTAAAAGCTATTGTATTTGTCATGCCAAAATATATATTTTTGGTGAGAAACAAGAATGAAAAGCAGCAAATTATGATTTTTTTTTCTAAAAGTGCTACTTCAAAACACATTTTTAAAAATTATGTAAACAAATCTACTGGAAATAATGGGTAGTCTAAAATAAGGGGGCAATATGAAAATGATTTTAATGTTATGTTCACTAAATTTGTAGTCACACAAATGGCCTATTCTACACTGAAACATAGTTATAACATATTACAATTCTAAGTCATCATAATTTGTGTTATCAGTAGAATACAATTTTAACACACCATGTTTTGGCAACATGCATGTTTTTCAGGAACACATGTTAGAAAGAAAGTTAACAGGAAGAAAGATTAGAGGGGTAGAAAAACATGTCTTCACTGCCCTACTACAAATATATCAACTGTTTATCCAAACATTGCTACATGGGCACATGGATTTGAACTTGACCTCTGAATGTAGTTTATTAAGAATAATCAGTTTCTCTCAATCCTGTTCATGGTTTAATATTACATGTAACTATACTGTAGTTGATAAAAATATAAGTAGATAGGGCTGGCTTTAGGCTGTGAACAACATTTTATTCAGTATATACATGTATACTGACATTTTGCTTCCTGTTACATCAGGTTGACCAAGTGCCATACAGTGGTTTATCAGGACAGGACTTAACATTAAAAGGACTTATTCCAACATACAAGTGGGAGGTCTTCACATTGACTACTAATCCAGGTACCGTAACAATACTAGTATATTGAATTAAAGATGCTGTTTGAAATGGGTTGGTTTCAAGTGGAAAACTTGGGGATATTTTGTACATATTAACTTATAATCTGTATTATCTATTGAGAAAATGCACTCTCCTAAGAAGTTAGATTTTTTATAAAAGAATTTTTTTTTTCATTTTGATTTTCTTGTGTGACATACAGTAATCTTGCGATGTAGTGTAAAAATGGAAAATATTCAATCTTACTACTTTGTATTGTATTTTACATTGTAAAAGCGGTTGTAATTTATCTTTGTATTTTCATTTCTTGTAGGGTTCTTCTTCATCAGGAATCCATTTGAACCTCACTATCAGAAATACTGGGTAAAACGGTGCCTGGAGGATTACCATAATAAACCAAACAAGACCAACATTGATGCTCACTTAGATGAAGACAGGAAGGAAAATTTGTGGGAGACACACGTAAAAGGCAAGGATATAACTTTCATTGAAGACTGGATACAAGACAATGTGGTTTGAGTGTATAGAAATTGCTTTCTGATATCTCTTCTTAGGTTGATTTAAATTAGGCCTCTGTAACAATAAAGTGAAATGAAAGTCAATTTTATCTATAATGCTTCACTACATTTAGTAGAAAACAAGGCTGACTAATTTGTATACATGTGCATATTGTAATTTGAATCATTTTTTTTATCAGATCCAAGTCACAGTAATATGAAGCACTTGCATTGGGCAACATTGGGATACCAGTATGACTGGAATGAAAAGGTGAGGACTAGGTTAAAGAGACTGCTCAAGAGGTTTTGGAAAGAAATGATTGGATAGTCAAATTGCCCTTGCTCTTTGACAACTTGCTATTTTTATACCTTTATCAACATCCAAACTCTTAAACCCAGTTTCACTACACCTTTTTAATTATACTTACAACTGTACGTGGCTTGATTGGTTATGTATGTGCATTCCTTGCATTTAAATTTCACATTTTGTAAACATAAACTCTTTGCTCTAGTAGGCATTTAATATTGTAAAAAGGATGTAACATCTCTTTAAATATTATCAAAGGCTATCTAAAGAGAAAATTGAAAGACTGAAGTCAAAATTCCCATGAACTTATTAAGGCACAGAATCCCCATCTTTAGTTTATGCGAAATTTACATTTTTATAGCATATGTTTTGCAGTTATGTGAAATATCAAAAGAAGCAATGGCATTATTTGATTCAGCAATATATATTAACAATGAAGTAACAAATCAAGTGTTCAGAGAGTTAAAAGCATATATATTTTTCTTTTCTTCCAGAAATACCACAAGGACCAGTGCACAGCCTTTCCTGAGGACTTGTCTTTGCTGTCCAGTATCATAGCAGAGCGGGTGGGTTTCCCCGCCTTTACAGCCCAAGCCTCCATTGTTAATTACTACCACCTGAACTCCAAGCTGGGTGGCCATGTGGACTATTCAGAGTTCGACCATGATGCACCCCTGCTGTCCATCAGGTAATAACAAAAATTAGAATCTCACTTTAAATTTTTTGTTCCTTTCTGTAATGTGTTGAGTGTGTTAACATGGAGTATAATTGTCAGGCCCTGCCTTTCTTGTTTTTACTGGAGGGATGAACTAACCTTCCGTAGATAGTTAAGTTTTAATCTTTTCAAAAGCCAATTTTTCTACAAAACATTCATTTTCTAAACAAGCGTTAAAGCATTTTTTTTTAGATGTAGTCAAATTGATATATAATTTTTAAAGAGTAACACTGTAACATTATCAATAGAACGAATGAGTGATTATCACGCTGAGTTTTACTTGCTGTAGATTGAAGATACTATCATCAGAACTTTGAGTGCATGACACAGCTGATGAACTTCTTTGCTCAACTGCATGATTTTTTTTTTATTTATCATTCCATAGTTTTGGTCAATCGGCTATTTTCCTGTTGGGTGGTGTGACCAAGTCAGTTAAGCCAGTGGCCATGTACATCAACAGTGGAGACGTTGTGGTCATGTCGGGTGCAGCAAGATTGGCTTATCATGCCGTGCCAAGAATCCTACCAGGAACACTGGATAAACTAGACTCTCCTCTCCCAGTCCTTGTGGATGCTGCAGGAAAAACTGTTTCCCAAGGTGGCAACTTGCCAGTTTCTCTTTCTCTCAATACTATAACACAGACATGTCACATTGCTTCAAATATAGATGCTCCAGATATACCTCAAAAACAGAATGCTGGACCTGATCAACAAGGCAATGGCGCCAGAGGTCAAACGGCTAATTCTCTGTGCTCAAACTGCCAGTCACACATGAAAGTCAAGGTGCTAAAACTACATAAAAGTGAAAGTGTTCAAAGGCATAACAGTGAAATTTGTTCAGGTTGTTACAATGCTCAACTAGCAAAATCGAGTTGCTCAAGAGAGCAAATATACACAGATAGAGGGAAAGAGCAAGAAATATCTGCTCCATCTCTTCAAGAAGTTACAAAGGAAGGTGCAGCTCAAAGTGACCTTCAAAACAAAAATGAAAAACTGAAAACAGTAAATGAAAAAATTGCCCGTGATTTGCACCACTTGCAATGGGCACCATTAAGAGAGTGGCTCGAGACTGGCAGAATTAATGTCAATGTTAGACAAGTATTAAAGCACGGACATGATTTTCCTGAGAAATAAACTTTTAATGGCCTTGTGTGATTTATAAAAAGTCATATATTTTACTTTTATAAATCTTAAATGACCATAAATTTATGTAGCAGTTACAAGTGATGCAGCTAAGTGTGAAAAGGGTTCTGGTATAGTATGTGGAATGATAATCAATTTTTTTTACCTCGTTACAATAAATATGTTACAATATTTTCAAATCCACAATAAGTGTTAAGGTGCAATTTTAAACAGTACATGTAAACTGCTGATTATTTTTTTCTTGTAATAGTTCTATCAAATGGTCCATTTTGCGCGTACAGTCTGTTCTTTATCGTACGTTGAAGGCCCACCTTTCCCCCTCCTCTGCTCGTTTAGGTTGTGCATCCACATTCCAGGAAATGTCCCCTGCAGGGGCACCAGTGTCCAGCACCCTGAAGTACGTCCCCGAGCAGATGGACCCTCCCGGAGAAGTGCTCATCAGAGGAAAGTCGGGGTGATTATTGCGGAGAATCAGGGTGAAGTCCAAGCCTGGAAGAGGCCAAACCAAATGATGATAAATGATAGCGCCAGTTTTATTCTTCACAACACATTTATACGATATGCAATGTTCCACCAACAGATGATAAACACCAGTGAAAGTTTTATCCAGTTCAAAAATTTTACATTTCATGTTTAACCAGCTTTACCTATTTCAAAATTTTCTCAATTTAAATTTAATCGACATTTAGACAAAAAATTATCCAAAAAGTTACATGTTGGTAAAGATAAGTTCAAGCAGTTCGATACAGTTACTTGTTCCTGAATTTTGCTTGCTATCACTGGAAAATTGAGCCATGTCCAACACAGAATCGTATAAAATTGCGTCCCGGATAAATCGTCTTTGAATAAAACTGCATTTTGCATTCCCTGAATGAAGTAAGAAAACTTCCAATATGAACTATAATTTTTTCCTAAGTCACTTACCAGTTAACCAGAGTTCCTGACGGTTTATACCTACACGCAGAATCAAAGTAAACATCTCTCTGCTTCTTTTTCTCCTCGAAATAACATTGCTTCTCCAGACCTCTTCGACTATCACTTTCAACTCTCCGTTCATGGGTGGATGGCGCTCGAAATAGAGATTTAAATAACGGACGTGTTTTCGTAGAATTGCGGCCTCGGGATTGTCTTCTACTTCAAACTCGGGCCCGAAAGATGTCAGCGTGACTCTCAACGGTCGGTTGATCAAGTTCAGAAAATACGAAGGAAATTTAACGTCACGGGCGGAGAAAAGTTCTTCGATGTTTCTGTTTGGGAACCCGTAAAGAATAATCTGCATGGTTTTGTTCTTGACTCTGTAATCTTCTAAAAACGGACTGTTCCAGAACGGGTATTCTTTCATTTTAGATCGACTAAGACACACAGCTGGTTTTTTTCTACTCAGAGTGAGAAGAGTTGCGGCAGTATGACTGGCTCCTTCTGTTGCAACGTCGGCGCCGTCAGCATCTTCATTTTCAATATGGTTTTCCGATCCGGGTGTGGAAACTTGCTCGTGGTCGTTATCGTTATTGTTAACATCCACTCTTCGTTTCATACGGCTCCATACCACCCCCATTGCTATTCTCTACATTTGTTCAATAGTCATGGGAAATTTAAATGCCCATGCAAGGAGTGAGCGGCATCCATCTTTGCGTTGAAGCCATGGCTGACGTCAGCGCGACAGGCGTAGTATCATGCGTGCATTGCGCGAATGTCCCATTGTTACGTCACTCTCTCAAAGGTATCTGTTGAAAACTCGCCTTGTAAATGAGATTTTGATTTGTAGTCTAGATCGTAAAGATATTAGTTCTTGTAACAATGCTTCGTCCATCTTAATTTGACATCCAATTTGATAGCTTAGTGACTTTGATAATTCAGCTATTCCACGAAAAGGCTTCCAATCTCGAACGCGAAAAAATACCTGCCGCATCCTATTTCCAGGAAAAAGTGTATGGAATATTTTAATTTTTAGTGTTTTAAGGTAGAATTCCGTTTGCTCTACAAAAATCAATAATTCACATTGTAGAACACTCCTTGACGGGAACCCGAGCGTCTATATGCACAATTTCCACGTATCGCTTTATCAGTATATATAGCTCATTTGCCACAAGTAAACGTGTATATGTTTCCATCTTTAAGCATTGTTTGCCCTCAGTTAATTTGCATTCATATTTTCTATATATATGGTGTTTTTCTGATACGTCTGTTAGTAACGGGGGCGTAGTTAAAACTTTGTCGTTCAGTAACCCCTAATCTCCGTATTTTTTTTCAAGTAGACATAAGAAAAGGTCATGATGCTTATTTTCCTTTCTATAACTCATAATACATCTAGGAAAATCGTGCTATTTGTTCATTACAGATAATGCGTAGCTTCACACCAATTCTTGTATATAATCTTGTTCTCAATAAAGTCATTCAAATCAAAAATACAGAATGTTATACAAAAGTTGATATGTCACATTTCAGAGCCTAACCACAGTAACGGACCAAAATTTGCAAAAAAAAAAAAAAAAAAAGTTGCTTTCGAAAGTTTTAATCGTCATTTCTGATGGAAAAAGATCGACTACTTTCTAAAATACAAAACACTTTTCAATTGTTCAGCAAGTGCATCCTGTGGTCACCTAACCTCCGTTGTGCTAACGTCCGTACCGAAATTTAGGGATTGTAATAAAATTTACTCTTGCGCCTTTTATAGCTTATTTATGTGGTGTGCTTGAGCCATATCCGATAAAAATAATTTAAAACTACCACTGTTCATACAAATATATAATTTGTCATTAGCAATTCTATAAAGACAAGCTGATCATTTAGATTGTAACTTAAGTGTGCTTTACAGTTGAAGACAAATTTTTTTTATCAAATTAGTTTTTGTTTGGAATTGAACGGTGGTTTGGATCTTTCTGATTTCATTCAAAATAAGGAGTTTTCAGGACTGTCTTGGCAACAAAAATGGTAGGCCTACTACTACTTTTTTGCCCGAGAGCTCTAGGACCTTCTAAAGACAGCAACCTGGCAACAATTATATTTAGTAAATAGCCTTGTGGATACCAATTTCACTATTTTATATAAATAATTACTATGCCTTGAATTTTTTTATCAGTTTTATCAAGGAATTGAATCAAGTACCTCTGTTTTTATGTACAACTAGGCCTATTTGCAAACACGTGTCGATTGTCGGTCTACATAGGTCTCATTGTTTAATTGTGGGTTAAATTATTTTACTCCTCAGGGTAATTTAATTTTTGATATACCTTCATTGCATATAGATGTGGACTCACATGTATAAAGTTTTGTAAAATGGGAACAGATATGAGACTTACAAATACAGTACGACAGAGAAAGAAAAGGGCATCTTATGATCGTACACCTGTCCTTGACAAAGGGAGCGTCACTGAAAAAAAAGCTCTCTTTTTGGTGGTTACATTGAGCAATTGATATTGAGTCATAATGAAAACACGGCATATTGCACAAAGACGGTGCATGTTTCCATGCGCGATAGAACTATTCGGTAAACGCTCACGGAAAGGGCCCTTCGATTGGTTTAATAGAAGCGTATAACGATCAACGGACAAGGCCCTTGGGCCTAAAGCATGGGAAGGATTACTTTTGAAAATCTTCTCAAGAAACAACAAGAACAACTCGGCTTTTCTGGGAAGAACAAACATTTAGGCGTAATTTAGAATGCTTTTTAACTAATATAACCTCCGTTACAACTATTTAAATTATCTAAAACTACTCCAGTAAAATGAGTCCTACAGACGCATCAATTAATATATTTGCGATGAAATGTGTCCAGTAGTGGTATATATAGGCTCATTACACTGTCCTTGCGTTTTCAGTTCCGAAAAGCAAGCAAAACACCTTTTGTGACCATTTGCCAGTTAACGACTTATTTCATTAATCTTGCTTTCCTCTGATGATTTGCTGTATCTATAATTCTTCAAATCGTGAATGCTGCTCCAAAAGTTCGTTTTAATTAAAAAATATCAAAAATGATATGGCCGCATTTTGACCTAACCTCCTTTACGAAATTGTAATTGTTTCCCCTGCATATACGTGTCTGCTGATTGATTATGTCTGCATCATATTTAATTCATAGAGCTATATTCAAAAACATCTCCCATGGCATAAAAACATGCCTGTTCCAAGTGATTTCTCTTAAACTGTATAGAAACCAAAAATGGACTTATGACTGAAATGTTAGCACCGTATTTCTTATACAATGGACAGATTTCCCAAGGTGGCGATAATATTTTCTAGTACTTACAAAATCTTGGTATATGAATAAAAAACTTGACACCTATGACATGATTGAAATATAACGCAATATACCGGTAGATGTTACCTAAACTCCATAACGAAAATAGTTTTCTGTTTACACGCTTCTGAAGGAGAAGTAATGATGTGGGAAAAAATTCTTCCGTTGCTCTCTGAATACCCCTTCTTTAGAAAAATATAAAATATTGCAAAGTTTTGCAAAGTTAATATTTCTGCATTTGAAAAGCGCATCACATCCTCTCTTTCTCTCTCTCTCTTTTTCTCTCTCTCTCTCTCGGAAAAAAATCTTATCCACCGCAGCGAATGTACCTGACCCCTACTTACTCACATCTACAGCAATTCATGTGCAAATACAAGACCACACACAAGACACCATTGTTTTGATTAATATTAACAAAGAGCGGCGGGTCGTCCAATAATTGATCATTACACACACTACGCGTCTGTTTAATACACCACGAAAATTGATTTATACTCGGGAAATTAGAATGACAATACAATAGGCGTCATCTTATATCTCGATCTCTAGCAGAACTATCGGATCTATGCTGTGTGTCTCTGCATATGTATACAAGTGCTCTTCGTGTCAGCTGTTTAGTCACCAAAGAGAAAGCCCCGCTGGTTAGCTTGATGTTAACATTATTCCACAACGTCATCGCTGGTGCGTGAATCGTTGTGACCTAGAATCGGTGTGGGGACGGTCGCACGAGACGATCGAGACGACTTAATCAACAGGAAAGAGGAAAGACCCTACATCAAAATGACCGGAGAGAAGGAGTCTTTAATCTTGTTATTAGGTACGTAGAACTAAATCTGAATCTATGAACGGGGCATTGGTAGGACAGGTGAGTTAACAAGGTATGAGGACTGCAGATCAGCGTTAGAAAGATGGTCTGTTGTTCTCTCGTCACCTACAAATCTAAGATCCTGCTTGTACCTTGTAGCTCAGAACCTAAGGGTGACTTAGGAGTGGGATTTACTGTTAGTTTCTCTCGTTATTTCAGCCATCCCGCGTACTATGTGTGTGCTAAGGATGAAATACCCAGTTTAGAAAATATATACCAGTTGTTGTTGTTGTTGTTAAGTTAAGGTTACACAGGTACGATAACTGCGTACCTTGTGCGTATGTTTCAATTTCAATTTGTAGAATGCTACTCAGGTGAGGTATAGCCTTAATTTCTTCATGATTGTGTATTTATATGATACGTAGTGAAATAGAAAGTTATAGTTAAGAGAACAGATGGAGTTATAAGTAACAGAAAAAAGTCACCATGAGATAAGCAGGGTTACAGAGTCAACTCAAATTTATCAATGTCAACTAAAATACTATGGCGGCGTTTATAGTCTTTGACTGTGTTTGGAGAAAATGAACTTTCAAAGGCCGCATAAAAATCACACGTTACGTACAGCGACATTGTTTACCACTCTTTATTACCAGTATAATCAACAAGGGTCAAATTTCTGCTGTTGAATTTATGATCGATTTTCGATTAATTTCATAAATAATGTAACATTTGTGACTACTTCGGTCTGTTATATTAATATAGTCAGTGCTCGCACGGACGAGTAAATCGTTTTCTTCGTCCATGGTGAAAGACATGTACAGGAGAGATATTTTCCTGGTTTTACAACGCATATGAGAATGGGAGAGAATGCTATAAGTGAATTTCAGTTGTCTTAACCTCGGACTAGAGGGCACATATCGACTGCATGCGTCTTTCCCTGTTGTCTACTCTGAATCATGGACATATTATCCATAATTTGTTCATGTCTGAATATTTTATTATTCAGATTGGACTGGGGGTCGTACAAGAGAAACTCATGCAGTGACCTTTTGTGAAAAGCAATCTCGCTCCAAAATCCTAGATAAACTTGTAAAGATATGATGGCAGTTTTGTACTTAGGCTCGGTGGGAAATGAGCCCAATAATGATGGGTACACGTGTTACGACGTTTTAACTCAAAGAGAAGGAAGACAAAGATAGAAAGATAAATAGACAGAAAGATTGATAGATAAATAGATAGATATTATTCTACAGTAAATGGTACTGGCACTTGCCACTACTCTACGTAATTACTTTTGTAAAATGGGCAGCATGGTGGGGGGTCAGGGTAAATGATTTTACCTTTACTCATTTGAATCTATCTAAAGGATACAAACCGACTCATCCGGGTCCCCTTTCCTATGATGAAACATCCTATTGATAATCTCATCACGTAACTTCTGACATGGTTTTTGCCTCTTATTGACTGCCATATGATCTGCACGGATCCACGGATCGAAATATACCTGTCTTTTAATTCGGTTCAGATTGCAACCTGTTCTTTTCAGAGCAGGGGCAGCAAGCTATCATTTGCTTATTCCAACTGTAAGGAATTGTCTCAATAATGGTTGTTGGCGTGTTTTTTTTTTTTTTTTTGCCAAGAAATGGATTGACAGTTAGACACGAGATCAGAATAGTGACTATTAATCCAGTTTTTCTATATCGAACAATGCTTTAATAATTATAAGTTTGTCTCGGGGTCCTTGTATTTCAGTTCAGTACTCTATTATTCGTGACAATCTCTGAAAGACCAGAGAAAAAGGCGGTCTTTGAAATGATAAACCATGGATGAAAGAAACCGGTTATAAACTGAACGTAACCTACCTTCACGTCCACTTAGGGACCATTCCCACAGATATTTGGATCGATCTATCTCCCTGGCGAGTCTCACTAAATTGCTATCAACTAACCGGCTTTAATGTCTGTCACGCTGTTAGGGGGTAATTATCTTCACCCCTAGCTGATTCAGTAGGCACAGATTTTTAATCCGGTTAGTTGATAGCAATTTAGTGAGAGTCCCCAGGGATTTAGACCATCCAGATGTATCGATCTAGGGAACCCAGTCTTATACCCCTGTATGCCATTGCACTGTGTGAACTGGGGCTGCTGGGGTTTTCTTAACAAAACGTCCCTTTCCCCACACCCACCCCTTCGTTCAAGTGAGCAACACAGCTATCGCTTTCCATAGTTTGTTCTTGATACCCTAGTTCGCTTTTAAGAACTGTCTAATCGCCAAATGCAAACTCACCTTTGCCAGTGTTTCTGAGCTATAGCATTCACTTTTCAATGATAAGCACGTATTCTATTGTATTGTATTTATCGTGTCTAACAATTAGACAGTGAAAGATTTAGGAGGGTCACAATGGTTGTACAATGGCAAAATGGAGCTTAAAAAAAGAATTTGATATATTCAAATATCTTACATAAAGGATGTTTTGATTTGCAAATAGAAAGCCCACAAAAGACCTAATCTCATTCATTGCTTAGTTTTTTTTTTTCATTTGTACAAGCAACAGGCCTACAAGTGCTCTACAAATCACAAGGATGAAGCGCGATTTAGAGAGGAACAATATTCAATTCATTTAATTAGAAATATTAATATTGCTGAATGATAGCTGCTGTATCGCAAATTTCCGGATATAACTTCATTCAAGTACTGCTTATAGTCATATTAAACTCTTCATCGTGTATAGGATGAGAATAACAACACAATGGGTATTTCGAAATAGGAGTCTACATTTCGTAATGGGTATAAATTTGACAATATGAAACTGTGCAAGTTGATCCTATATCTATCTTCATTTGAAAGTGGAGAGGATACATTGTGATGAAAGCGGTGGAGGATGGGACAAGTGCATCAATTTTATCGTAATCATAAGGGAGATGCGTTGAATGATTCATGTGTCTGAATTTCCGAACCATATTGATAGCATCGAATAGGCCTTCCATCACATATGTATCTTTTTTGGTACGAGCCATTGAAGTGGAATTCATTCATTACATATTTATGTTCCTTTATCATGAGTATTACACCCGCATGACGACCTAATTATCTCGGCCTCAGAGATGTTAAAATGTTATAAAATATTAAATCTTGTAAAACGTTGTATGTTAGAAGTCTTGACTGTGTGAAAATGATGAGAACGCCGTCATCACTTCTCTTCATGCCAAGTGTCTGTACCCGCGGAACTGCTCATCAAGTGCAGACGATACTTATCATTTGCTCCTGGCCTTTATCTCTTACCTTATATGCTTAAGTGATCAGTTTTACGATTAGGATACTTCTGATGAGCTACCGGATTTTATGATGATAAGCATGATTTTTTGTTATCATTTGTTTGAAATTTCAATCTTGCTTTAAGGGGGGGGGGGGGAGGTATGCAAGTGCAAAATTATTGAAAATTATGTTGAAATATAGAAAAAAATACATAATGATATGGTAACCATTTTCTCTCCCCTACCTCCATAAAAAAGCACTCACTGCTGGTGGTGTGGGATATATAAGGTTTGATAACACAGAAAAAGCTGCCAGATGGAGAATGCTATCATACATATACCTAACTAAAAATCTCTTTGCCAATTCCTCCCTTTTTTGATACCGATGGCCGAAAATCAGAGATCTGGCTCATGGCCTATAATAAAGATTGGTATGTTAAAATCAACGTCTATACAGTGCAGACGTATGAAGCAATGAGTGCAAGCGACGATGAGCTGAGCCGGTAAATGATAAGCATGGGTCCCAGTCAGAGAAATAATCATGCGTGAGAAAAATAGACATCTAGTTTTACTATTTTACTCTAGCTAATTGACCAAGCAATCAAATGATAATACGAATTATTGATAACAGCACTTAAGTATGGCGTGATCAAGATTTTGTGGATTTGCAAATAGGCCTTATTGAGAACTAATGTTGACAAACTTGTAAATAAACAAAGGCATAACTGAGAAATGTTTTTCATAACATTAATCTTTAACACCGAGGAAAGTGATCGCTAATTCTATTTCGTGTGTTTATTAACAGGCCTCTGCTTTACAAGCCTGGTGCTGTGCCAAGAAGGTAGTAATGGAACTTCAACAACAGTGACTTCGACAGCGCCTTCACCCACGAGCACCACCACGACTCCGACTCCCACCCCGACTACTAGCAGAAGCCCCCAGACGTCTACCTCCACGCCGCAAGGTAATACAGGAGAGAGAGAGAGAGAGAGAGAGAGAGAGAGAGAGAGAGAGACTTGTTTGGTTGCATCCCGTTCTAGTTAACTGTAGGTGATCTATTACACAATGCTACCAAGTGAACGTCCTGCTTTGATATTCAAATATTTAGGATCTTAGTGGTCAGTGCCACACATCATATGCAACTCTTACTAATAGTTAAAATATTCCAGTTTGGCGCAGAGGTATTGTAGAAAAAAATTATTTATTTACAAGTAAAAAAGACATATTTAAGTTTTGACTAACATCCAGCATAGCCTACGAATACTGGATTCTTGGCTCAGTGTTGGTTTTGGACTTATTGATGACTTATTAATGTATATGTCTTTTATAACTAGAAACTACAACCGCCAAACCGTCTACAACCGCCAAACCGTTCAATGGATTCTACGAACTGAAATGGCCAAATGATACCGTATGTGTGAGAGCCACCATGACAGCAGTTTTCGCCATTACTTACAAGGCAAAGGAGCAGACGACGGTAAGCAAATTGAGTATATTGCTAACATTGCTGACGAGAATGAAAACGAGAATAAAAAAAATGAAAAAACGCTAATATTTTGGTGTAATTATTCATTTAGATTTTTTTACTGTATGTGGACTGTCTACCGTAGCTACAATGTGTTAGATCAGACGACCTGCCCAAAGAAAAACGAAAATCATATTTGGTAAAAATAACCCTACGTCTCAGTAACAAAATCGAGAAAATTGCTTCTAAATTATTGTTCAACTCGCTTGAAAGTAGAAAAGGTAACAGTTTCATTGATGCACCTGCAAATAATAAGGGGAAATAGTGGTATGTTTAATTTATTAGTTTCCGTTAGTAAAGGCTACAATCGTTTTGTTGCATGTTGACTTGTGTGAACCAAAGAGGATACAGTGTTCAGAGGAATTGTTGTCTTCGGTCGCAACTTTTATCTGTAAAAATGCCCAGAAAAGGATTCAGACATGATGGACGCTGTGCTCATTTATTATCTGAGAAGTTTGAACACCTGAGTTACAGAGCTGGTTACTGGAAATTCATATCCATTATCAGTAAGCCCTTGCCTATTGCTAGTAATATAAGGAAACGATCTGAAGTCCAGCAATATATTCACAGGGCATGCTTTTGAGATTTGAGAAGAATATTTTTTATTTCAATGGAATTAAATTTTTGTTGTAATTTTTTTAAGATGCAGAACGCCACAGTAACTGTGCCTAAAAGTAGCAAGGTAGGCGGAGAATGCTCAGAGACCAGGGCTACGATGACTTTATCATGGGAGAAAGGATATCAGTTCAACCTTTCGTTTGAAGTAAAGGTTGGTGAGGAATTTCTTAAAATAACCTGTTTCAGGTTGATTTCTTTTATAGTTGCTTCTTTAATTTAATTTATAGTTTTGGTGTCGATTATTGTTCTTTTCTTTGTCCCGTCTTTTGTTTTAAGGAGATATGGACGTAACCATACACTGTATTTGATTTTTTTGGAAGGATGGAGAGCGAAAGAGGAGCTACGTGAATCCTCACTATTGAAAGTTTTTTTTAAAATTAGTAATGACAAATTTAGCAACACCATTGTATTGTCAAGCAAATGAGCTTCAGTTCATACAGTCCCATTTTGAAAGGGAACTTGCAATACCTTTTTGCAGACGTCAGCGGATTCCGAAAAGTCTTGGGCCTTGACTTCTATGGCACTTACGTACGACCCCAGTGTGGTTACAAATAGCTCGACTAGTAAGTGTGCTGCCTAATAATATAATATAATATAATATAATATAATATAATATAATATAATATAATATATAAAACCATCATGAAAGTGAATATTTGTTTTCACTTAAGAGTTAAAGATTATTACTTCGCAGTGTAAACACCCATAATTACATTTTATTAATTAGTGCTTCGATTAAGCAGTTTTTTTTACTTCACATTAACATGTTAAACCAAGATGTTAGGATTCTGTACTTTAACAGGAATATTCTTTCCCAAAATTTGACATAATTTTTTATGTTGCCAACAATTTTTAGCAAAGGCGTGCAAGCGTCTTTTAAAATTGCCTACGAGATATTTTACGTTTTCCATGACACGAATCTTTCAGGTACCCCAACGACCGTTCAGCTGATGAACACGAGTATCACCTCCAGTTTTGGACAGCCATATTCCTGTAAAAGTAACCTGGAGTTCGTATTCAAGGCGGCACAACCTGTAAATCTTCAATTATCTGAACTGACTGTCCAAGCTTTTCAAGTTCCTGAAAAGGATTTTGGACCAGATGGTGAGTGTGTGTGTGTGTGTGTTAGAGAGAGAGAGAGAGAGAGAGAGAGAGAGAGAGAGAGAAAATAACCACCAACCCCGATTTCATGCACAAATTTTACGTATTGCACTAATCTACATGTTGTGATCCACGCTGCACTAGGGGTTGGTATTTATGTCACCGCAGTGACCGACCCCCGTGTGTTTATGATCTGGTCGATAAAACCATTGGGGGCAAGTTTTTTTATTTGTTCTTTATGAAGTTATCATTTTCCTTCACAGGTACCGTTTGTGTCGCTGATGTGTCAGAAAATAAGAAAATGTCAGAAAACAACGTTATACCTGTAGCCGTGGCTGGGACGCTAGCGGCGCTTATATTGATCATCATTGTCGCTTATTTCGTCATGAAGGCCAGGAACAACAACCAGTATAAACCTATGGAGTAAAACTGAAGTGCTGAACATTATGTTTTTGAATTTTTAATCCATCAGTGCAATGATTTATGTCAAAAGGTGGCGCTCAACTTGTTAAATTGAGGTCAATATATTTCTTTCCATTTTAAAGTTTAGAGGTGGCGCGCAACTTGCTGAATTGAGCTCAATGTTTTCTTTCCATTTTTAAAGTTTTTTTATGTAGTTCTTTCATTATTAAACGCCGAACTGTTCAAACGCTGATGACTACGATAGTAAAAATATATTGATTGGATATTTCAAGTGCATACAAGCACAGCAACAATTCGTAGTCTTGGCTCCAATGCTTGGTTACAAAAAGTATCCTGGCTGTTATAGATCGAGTCTTCTATCCCCTGTAAACTCAGGGTGATACTGAATCGAATATTTTTACGGAAATTGATGTAAAGAGTAATAGCAGTTTTTTTTTCTAACGAAATATAAATTGTTGAATCAGATAAAAGAAGTCAGTAGTTGTTTGCAGCATGAATAAGAAAACGATTTAAACTTTTGGGGTGGTATTTTTATATGACCGTTTTAGCTTGCAACGTTTTACGGCTACTGAGGTACAATAGCCAAACTTGGTGTGTACTTGTGTGTACTTCGAGATCTGGAAAATTAAAGAGTCCATAAAGCCGTAAGTTCAGTAGATGAGGGTATTCTACACAAGTAATCAATGGTTCATATATTATTTATGCTAACGTCGAGGTCAGGCGGCGCGTTTGCGTAATTACTAATGCCACGCATTATTCTTTTGAAATAGATCTGATGTTGATAGCTTTTGTCTGGTTGTGATAAACGATTAATGTTATTGATATTTTACATTCATCCAGTCTTTTTATCACATCTTTCAACACTAACCACCTTTTACAACTGTAGCATAGATTTCTATCGATTCTGAAATTCAACACCAACATTGCTTTATTTGTTAACTTCGTTGGGCACACCTGGATGATTACAAGTTTTGAATAATAGAAGACTTATTGTTTGGTTGGTTGCACAGGTCATATTTTGGAAATAATCGACGCCCTACTATTAGTATTGTCAAGATACACGATAAATTTAATATAATATTATTTTCATGACCTACAAGTTTCCAAGTCAAAATTAGCCTAGAAAAGAATAAAAACAAACGAGATGATCTGCAATATTATCTGTATTTGTAAAAGATCTGTAAATACAATATAGATGTAATAAAATATCAAGCATTTTAAATGTCTACCGTGGCTTAATATATTAAACGAGTTTCTACGTTCTAGAATCCATGCACCGCTAGAGGTTATTGTTATCATTATCATTATAAACTCGAAAATACATAAATAGTGTACAAATGGATTATGACAGATTCTTTTTCGGTATCAAATGAAATTAAAATGCATTTATTAGTACAGAAGCCGGCAAGTCATCCCTTCAGCGCAAGGGAGAAGTCGGTCAGATATTTCCCTGGGTAATTTTAATTCTGATAATAGCTTTCCGATGCTGTCACTGAAAGTGGCAGGTCGTGTGCAGAGCCGTCCCTTAACATATTAAAACTGCAGTTTTACTGTGAAACGACAAGTAGTTCACGCGCGAATCAATCATACATACATGCAATCATACATCATATAAACACATGCAATGGTGTACTATACTACATTGGTAAAGTACAAATATGCACTTTGGAATACACAAAAGGGGAAGCTTTCGTCGATATTATACACGGTATTAAAATCTGTGGGAGGAGGAGGCGGGGGCGCGGAATTAATTAATCCTCTGAGCATTAGAGAAACCCAACATCTCTATCAACTTTACCGACTTTTCCAGGGGCTTCCCAACGCAGCACTAAGACGTTCAATTGAAATCCCACTTCCCAAACTAATGGGGAATGCAACAAAATGACCGATTCGTACTGGGGCATGGGCCAGGGTCAATAGGTATATTCTGACTGTCACTAGCTAAAATAAATAAATAGATACGACAAGTCCAGTTCATGGGTGGGCACGGCACGGCGGTCCATTCTTGCCACAATGTAAATGGACACCTTTCTAAAAGCCAAAGCTATAAAATGATATGCGAATCCATGGAAATACCTTACGAATTATCAAACAATACCATACCAGGCAAAACGGCGTGATCTGTTGATCTCTACCACATATCCTCCACCCATCAAGTGAAATTATATCAATATCAATAACTGATAAATTGCAGCCTCCAATGACGTATCGTTCACATTTAACTCAGCGGCAACATTCCAGGTACCACGGCAGTTGTTTTCTCTTTCTAATAAACAGGGTATATGTTCACTGATGAACAAGTACATATACAGGAAACCTCTTTGTTGTCATCCAGACAAAAAACTTCAAGAAGACTATTTAACTGAAACCATAGTCTCTTGTAATATCAAATCCAAATATGGTCAGAAAAGTAATATGTCAAACAATATCATACAATTTACAATGAAAAATACTTTCATTTCCCATTTGGACCTTTTCATCAAGCACACTTTCTGGTGATTAAAAAAAATTAATTAAAAAAAATCTATATAGCATAAGGTTGGTAGACAAAATAGATTTTCCCTATTAAAATCACTTGCAGGATGGAAATTCAGCATCACTTTAAGTATCACTTTAGCTGGACGTTTAGATGCGTTGCCCCTTTTCCAAATATGGACTTCTAATGTTCAGCTGCATTGTGACCTAGCTGGACAAGCCCATGATAAGAACGAGGTTTTTATTTGATATGTCAGGAGAGGCTTACTGCATATATTATATAATATTACCATCTACTAACTATCTACATCTATTAACCTTGATGGAAGTTTAAACTTTCTTTTCTAAAACTAATACTCAAAATGTACACATTATATTACATTATGTTGATCTTCTCCAAGTCCGGCATGATGTCTTCACTTTGAATGTACTTCTACATACAAACAAAAATACTTTCCTCCTATCACTTGCACATTTTCTAATATTTTATGAAAATGAATGAAATTGTGGCATTTCTATTATTGTAACACTAAAATATTTCCTCCTCAAATCTTAATATATATATATTATTAAGTCACTGAACTAATACAAGGTCTGTACATCTTTTACAGAAAAGGTAGACATGATCATTAGTCACCCATATTGCTTTAATATAAGTTCAATAAACTGAAAACACAAGGTTTCTGCCCCTCTCTTTACAAATGTTAACATGAAAGGCTTAAAAGAGCCGTCATTTCTATGTGTATCATTTCATTAAAAAATGCATGCGTATATATGTAAAACCAAACTGTCAGTATTCTCTTACAATTTCAATCCTTTTCCAGGTAACAAAAAACAATATAATTACCCATTTCTCTCTTAAAACGTCATTTGCAGTCCTGTCAAATCCACTTTGTTTAGAGATGATCTTTCCAAGAACACCCTTGTGTTTTACTAATTTTTACTGCAATCATCCAATCAGATTGTCTATTATAATGCTTCTCGTCTCCACTCCGTCTCCACCAGAGTTGTACAACGATCAGCTCAGGTTACTTATAATGGAAGTACAACATGCTTTCATGCACAATAAAGAAGCCTGCTAGCAACTATATGTAATACTAGACAGCAATGAGAGTAACCATTTAAATATTCTATGGACTGCATCTGTACATCTTTTGACCCCCTGATCATTTTATGTGTATTCCACAAAAATGGCATAATATTTTTTTTTACTGCACAATGTCTCCACATTTTGGCCACACCTTATGTACCTGCCATAAATACAAAATTCATTCACTCACCGAATCTTTCTTTTTCTCAACAGTTTGAACAACTGCATATCATACACATCGGTGACCATTACCCATCCCCAAGGCTACATTTTTCTTCTGTTGAATGCATTATTATGACAACATGAATATGACAATAAAAATGACCTGTTGCAGGCAACATTTACTGCCAATGTTCAATACTACTACAACTGACTGTTAAATACGAAAGTTGACACAAAAAATCACATAAATAAATAAAAAGTAATTTTCCCCGCTGTGTCTATGGCAGGTCTGAGACTACACTGCATCCAATCTCAGCAGGCTGGGGCTAAGACCAATGCTCACAATCTAACTCCTAAGATCATGCAGCAATAACAAGGACTTCATGTGTGTGGACGTGCTGGCCAGGTGTTCAGCAAGGGCTGTGATGGAAGCTCCGCATCAGGGGCACCAGGCAGCTGGAGGGGCCAGACTGGCGCAGGAACGGATGCTGGAGCAACTCAAATGCAGTGGCGCGCTGGGCTGGGTCACGCATCAGCATCTTCTCGATAAATCCCTGCAGACGGGGAGACACCTGCAAGCCCAAGGCAGACAATTTATTATTCAATTGCATTATGTCTTTTGTAACATTCTGTGTACAGAATTATTTATTTTAAACCCAAAGTACACAGTTACCTTTTACTATGCAGAAGTATTTTTAAACTGTATTTGTATTTTTTATTACATTCTTTGTTAAATCTAAAATACAGAATTTTAGTAAATTTGATAGGCTGCAATAAATGTTGCAGCAGTCAATATACTGAAACTGAAGTGAAAGGGGTAATTTTTTTTTACATAATTTTTCAGTTTTGATAACTCCCTCAGTATATGCAAGAAAACATTATGTATAAATTAATTTTTTTTCTAACTTTGGGCCACTGCATATGTAGGTCCCAGTAGCAATGGGCTGGTGGGCAGTCACTGTATTAAAAAACAATTCTATTTTTTTTTGTACCTTATGTGGGTTTTTCAGTTTTGGAGGAGGCATATCCCGTATCCTCCTCATGGCTTGAAGTGGGGGCTCATTGAAGAAAGGAGGCTCACCATCCACCATCTCAATAACCATGATGCCCAGGGACCAGATATCCACCTGAACAGATCAAATTTAAGATAAATTTAAAACTTCAAATAAAATGTTTAAAATAAAAAAGGTTAAGAAAAATGAACACACACTACTTTTTTTTTTTTTTTTTTCAAATTCAAAGTTGACCTGGTTTAAGTTTTAAAATGGTTAAAATGATCCACCTAATCATATGGAACACTTTATCCTAGCATGAGACAAGTGCAAGTTTCTCCAATTCACAAAATATTTCCAAGTAGTTCAAATTCTCTCTCTCACGCTCACTTCATTCCACATACATTCAGTCAGTCTCTTTCAGAGAACATCTGCTTCATCTATGAATATTTCATGACATGCTGGTGATCAAATTAGAGCTAAATTGTCCCATTTTCCAATCCAGCATTTGTTGTCTGCCACATGAATGAATTTTTTCAAATATATTAATATTAATAATAATATATACCCACATTACTGTAACCTTTGCTATCTCACCAGAGAAAGCCACTTACTACATGATATAAGTGTGTACCACTGAAATCATTACATCTCATCCTACGGGGAGTTCTACAGTTATACAATAACATACTTTTACTGAAAAGCTCTAGAGGATCAGAACAAAGGTGAAATATAGAGCTCTCATTAGCCAGATTTTCCCCCATGATTTAGTTCTACAGTTTGATAAGGCTAGCATTATCCAGATATTCAGACAAAAGAAATTCTACCCAAGAGCCAGTGTAGTTCTCGCATATACTGGGTCAGTGTAGAAATGGTGCTACTTGGGAGTTATATACTGCACAGAATATTGTAAAATGTCCAAGTATTGAATTTTCTTTGATGAAATGAGTTTACCTAAACCATTGTCATATTACTAGTAACTATAAACAACAAAGGTACATTAGTCTCCTTCTGATAAGAATTGAGACCATCTGGGCTTGAAATATTGAAAGCTTTATAAACAGATGGCTAGATTATAACAAATGACAATGAAAGATTACAAAACAATTTTCATTTCTTAATGACGGTTAAATACCGCTTGATGAATGATATACAGGTATGTTAAAATATAAAACCATCAATATTGCCATTTTATTGCCATTATAACAATGAAATTCCATTAGCTAAATAATTATGCACTCGGCCCAACTATTGTGGTTGAAAATATTGGAAAAATTATGATCAAGGTAAAATAAATTCATCTCTATCTGGTTTGCATCAGGGTTTCTAAAGAACAGTAATATCAAAGGCATGCCCCACTGCTTTCTAACCTGCCACAAATAAAGTAAGCAAGCAGGGAAATATTTAATAGTAGAAATAACATCAAAGCTTAAGGCTATAATCACTACAGCCATGACTGTTTGTTTTCTGGCAAAATGACATTTGTATGTACTGTTTTGAGTGCTGTTCAAATTGCAAAAAGACTTTCAGCACAATGTTTCCAGGAAGCTGGGATATTTTACTCTTTGAAGAAGTCGGTTAAAAGGTCTTTCTGGACAAGAAGCAATCAGCCCTTTTAACAAGGACTTCCTTTCAATATAATAGCCTTCCTCAGGAGCAGCTGAGAGCGCAGACAATATTGTATAGCCTTTCTCGGCAGCTGAGAACACAGGCAATAATATACAGCCTTTCGCTGGAGCTGAGAGCATCAAAAAGAAAAGTGCAAAATATTTTTTAGACAAAAATACTAACACAGAAATAGAAATCATCTTGGGAAAGAATAGGAAATAATAGCTAAAGGGGGAGGGGGGAACGTAGGCGCTGTTTCAAATTTTAACATGTTCTAGATATTTGTGACAATATATTCATCATAACCTCCTACTGCATGTGCATCAGAACACTTAGGCAGTGACTGAAGCCTGATGTTACCAGTGGGATGTCTGCAATTCTGACAGAAATATCGATCTGAGGTAGAAAGAAATGTTCTTATTTGTCGTACACCAAGTAATTGTAAGTAATTGGTTGCCCATGTTGCAGGCAAACTGTTGATGGGGAATTGATAAGGTTAAAGATATGTAAGTCTAAGTAGGCGTGGGTGGCAAAAATAGTAATCAGCTTCGCTCCATCCTTCCTCTAAACACAGCACAGAAAGGATCAGTAATGAAACATATTTTAAGTCCTACATCACAAGTTATTTTTCTATATCACAAGATATTATTTTTATGAATCTGTATTCTTGTTCCATGTGCATAATTGACACAGACAAGATCAATATTTAAACATAATAAGAACAATGAAAAGCCTTTTCTACACGAAATGTATTCCGGTCATTTCCTACTCCCTGTGTAAAAATATTAAACACTGAACAATAAAACAATCATTTATAATTAAAGACAGTCCAACAAGTATCATCTATCTTTAAAGACATTGTCCAACAGAGCACCCCAAATTATACAAGACTATATAAACTGGGGACAAAGGAAATTACATTGCGATACATCCTTCAGCTCAGGATATTCATTTTAGATCTCAGTCACTATCATTTATTTTTCATTAACAGAGAGTTTGATCAAAGACACAGCTACATGAAAAGGAACTGAACCACAGCATTCAGACTGCTTAATCAACTGAGGGACTTCTTTTATTGCCAATTTTGACGCAAACTGTTATCTCTTAAGACAGATCAATTTAAAGTTGCCAGCAATGAATCCTGTAGGAATCAATAATTATGAGAAAATAAACACATGTGAGCCCCATCAGGGGAATGGACAATACCAAGTGCATTAACTTTAAATCCAATCAATAAAATGCAATGTGGGGGGGAGGGGGGGAGTGTGAAGTGCATGTGCTGACATCTTTTGTGCAAATTTGCTGTTAAAATTTTATTTATTATTTGGTTATTGCATTAAGTGAACCAAGGAGGTTAACTGTAACCACTTCCCTGGTTTCACTTTTATTCTTTGATAACAAATGTTTAATATGATAACGCTAGCAGACAAGTGCAGACCTGTGACATTAACTGCTAAATGACACAAAGATATGTTCATCCTGACATATATCATATACAGAAAGAATTTGTAAAGAGAAACCGTAAGTCAATACATTATTCTGCTAATTTGCAATGTTGGTGACATGTTATTTTAAGGTAAAATTTCTGCCAGACAATTTCCATTATTAAAATGCACACATGACTGACAGTACTATCAAATGCACCTCCATGGACACAGACATTCATAAAAACAACACATTCATGTTCCTGCACATACATACATACAGACAGATAGACAGAGGCATGGACAAGATAATGCTAAACAATATGTACTATGTCTGCACATAAAAAGGAAAAAAAAACTCCCCATCCTCTTATCTTAATGTGGTGTTTTTGATTATCTCATACAAAACACAGCAAGTTTCAAGACCGTCTTTCATACCAAAAAGAAAAAAAAAAAGGGGGGGGGGGGCAAGATTTCTATTCCTGCAAACACAATCAAGTTGTGTTGTATGGTTACCTCAGGTCCATAGGGCAGCCTTGAGATGACCTCTGGAGCCATCCAGTAGGGGGTTCCCACCAGGGACTTCCTCTTTGGGAGTTCGGGCGTCACTTGAGCACAGAAGCCAAAGTCAGACAGTTTCACCTTAAATTGAAAATATCAAAGGAAATTATTCCACTGGTTTAAGATACAGGTATGGTATCATGAAAGGAATATGGGCAAACAGTTAATCGTAACTCAATCTGTTTTTTAATTTTATTAGATCAATTCATGGAATGTGACATACCACAACAATATAGTAACTACTGGTGAAAATCAGTAGCATTATCTGTCTTGTTCTAAAACAGATGCAACATTACATTTTCTTGGACTAATATTTTTCTATGGTCATAGTAGACTAAAATCTGAAGTCTGGAGTACTTTTGTGACATATATCAAAATGAATTACTCTCAAATTAAAATCTGCAGATAATGAAAAAAAAATAAATAAATAAATAAATAAATAAAAACTTCGATAAATCCAGTATGTTGCCAGATCAAAAAATGAATTGCTCCTGAACAGTGCCTAAAACCACAAACTGTAAACAAATTACACCTAAGGAAATGTAACTATCTGGTGGCTAACTTTGCTATACTACTTATATGGCTCCTCACCTTCCCATCATGGGACAGCAATATGGAGTCTGACTTGATATCTCGATGGATGACTCCATTGGAGTGCAGGAAGGCAAGCGCCTTTAGACATGATTTACACACTGTGGCTATCTGTTGTTCATCCATCCTGAAACAAATAGCATATGTATAAACAGAATTATTCTAAGAACTATAACATATTCCAATATGGATTCCTGAAGGCTGCTGGTACAATTATGTTGTCCTAGTTGTAACTTTTTCTTTAACATAAATTCCATATTGTGTTAGTTGTGACCTTATCACAAAATCTGAGTGCTATATTTGGTTCCTTGTAACTGTGCTGTATGTTATACAATATCCATGTTGTGTTGGATGTTTTGTGTGACAGTGTTCTTGTTTAAAACTAGCTTCGCACTCTTTTCAGCATATTCGTCTAACTAACCTTGAGTGAGTCACTATATCTGTAAGAGCACCGCCTTCGAGGAATTCCATTGCCACCCACAACTCATCCTCAACCAAGAAACTATCATACATATCTACAATGTTGGGGTGATGATAATCTCTCATGATCACCACCTGGAACAGAGCATGAAGACAGCCTATGTTATAACAATTATTTTGTATTTTCCCAAGCATAATTATTTAAATTTGGCTCAGATTTCAGAGCTTTGTATTGTGTTTCTGTTAACGGTAAAATTATACTGTCTGGAGGCATTCAATTCTATAATAAATCTTATGTTTCTTCATCAGAACTCTTTATATCATAAAAATTTCACAACAGAAATGTTTCAGAACGACTGCAAGTTAAAGAAAAAATAGAAAAGTTATTTAAATGAAAACCCAATTTAATGCTAAAAAAGCATTGTCTGAATTCATAACCCTCACCTCATTAAACAACAACTCCCTCCTCTGCTGTTTCCGTAGGTCCATCTTTTTAACCGCAACCTGGCGGCCAGTTTTCTTCTCTGCTGCGATACAAACAATGCCTGTAGAACCTTCTCCAATTTTTGTAAACCGGTCCAAGATTTCCCGCGGGTCGCCTGGGCTAACTACCATTTGCAGAGCAGCACGGAACTAGAAAAAATGAATGGCTGAAGATGAGTGAATTGCATCAGAAATCCTGTTGATATTCAATGTTTTCCTAAGGACAGCAGCTCAAAGAAGTTTTAACCAAGATGAATGAAAATATTCAATTGCTTCTGACAAATTTGTTCATTTTTTACAAGTATTTTGTATCTTTTATTCTTCTTAAAAAAGACACAGTAGTATGACCCCAGAATTAACTAAACATATCATAACCATTCATACTTCATGAGCTGCATCCCATTGCTCATTTTGATAATTTTTATAAGATGCTTAAATTAGGCACTATATAATAAATAATTATGTGGAAATTACATGCACTAATAAACAGCAGTAGCACAGGAAATTACATATGTGCCATGCAAGCTATACCATGCATCTTTACTAAAGTTTGATCAGAGGCATATTTTAGCTTTATTACAATTTCATTAGATAAATTGAATATGCACTAATTAAATCATATGTAAAACACAATTCATAATACACAAAAACTGTACAGTATAGAGACAGAATAAGAAGGGGGAGAACAGAAGTATTGTCTACATTTCTTTTTTAAAAATGGAAAAGGACTGACTGATAACTAAATGAAAATAAAACAAAAGGGAATAATATCCATTGCCTGCAATTGATTTCTGTACTAGAATTCAGTTAAAATGTTAGCCTCTCTTCCCCCTTAGTTCTGATACCGGATTCCTAAGGTTAGCAATGTTAAATCTGTACAAATGTGTGCCATGTTTTCAGGTACTGATGGGTAAGGTGTATGATCATGACATTTTCTTAGTGTAAGGAGTTGGTTGTAACTAGAAATAAAGTTTTTCATGGCCATGTAAATCTTGGCATTGTCACACTGTTAATTGTTGTCACAAATTGACGCACTGGTTAACACTCCCATACCTGTTCATGTGACAACCTTTGGGTTTCTGGGTTAGGCTGAGGTTTGCCTTGAGCAGGTTTGCCCCCTGATTGTGGCAGAGGCGACGGCGATTGCGACTGATGCACACCCATGGGCGGTGACGGCTGCATTGGAGAGTGTTGTTGATGAGGCTGTTTATTCGGAGGTGAGCCCTTTAAATTTACAAGAGACAGAGCTACTATCATGCCCAGTGTGCCCCCAGTCCTGGCTGTTAATCATTCATCATCTCTACTGCAGGTATAGAACTACTAATCTGGCTAGTTTGGGTTTCCATTTTGACCATCGCAGGAATTTAACCAAATCTTTTGCATTTTTGTAACTAGATTTATCTGTGCTTCAAACAACTGTTTTTCACATAAAGTCCAAATGTCCCATGTGCCAGATTTTTAGTTGAACAAATGCTATAGCCATTTTTATGCAAACAACCAATAAGAAAAATCTGGAAGATTGTCCCAGTTACGATCACAAACAGATTCCCAGTGAAATTTGTTACTTGTGCATCCAAGTACACAGCCCCATTCTAGCTACTATTAGTAAAAGTTACAATATAATCAGGTAAAAAGAACTAAGCCTAGTATTACCATTCTGGTTAGACTATGGGTTAACAGTTATTTGAAATAAGAAAATAATAGCCATTTGTGACACGTAGTAAAACTTTAAACACCAAAGCATTGCCTTCCAAATTTCAAAGAGACAACACTTGAATTTCTCTGCAGATCAAAATTATACATGATGTCATTCTAACTCATGTTTTCATATCAGACTTTTTATATCTCAAAACTTTTAACATGTCAAATATGTATAAGAAAGTAAATTATGTCTGAAAAATCTCAACATATTTTGCAATATAAGAAATATCAGAACCACATCACAATACGTAAAATACACAAAACAAGCACTTTTTCTAAAGCGCCATCTACACAACTTACCCTATCATACTGTTGAGGCCCAGTGGGCATCTGTGGTTTGCCCATATGCTGGGGCTGGGGCTGTTGCCGAGGTAATGTAGAATTTCCTCCATTGGCTGTGTTAGGTGGATACTGGTTGTGGTGGTAATGGGGGTCATCTCTCCTGGGTGGGGGGGCACGCCCATCCCTCTGTTGTTGATGATAATCATAGTCCCTAGGGTCTGGTCCCCCAGGGTACCCCATGTCTCTGTGTTCCCCAGGGTACTCCCCCCTTGTGTTCCTGGGATAACTACCATAGGGATCATTTGGCTGATAAGGAGGTGGATAGTCCTGCCTGTAGCCGCCCCCATAACCCCCAGGAGACATCTGCCCTGACTCGTGCACTGTTGGTGGCACGTTTTCACCTCGCATGAGGTCGCCCCTGCGCATGGTTGGGGGGCTTTTCCGTAATGAGTTTGATCTTGCCACTGTGATATTGCCAGCATTTGTCTGGTAGCCATTGCTGATCTGTGACCTCTGGTCCCCTCCTCGGATTATTGACTGGAATCAAGAAGAGGAATTGACAATTTGTGTCACATAAAGGATCCTGCAGATCAAAAATTATATAACCAAGAGGGGGCAATAAACTCATATTAACAGAGCACAACTACAAGTTGCACAAGGGATGATAACAGATTAAAAAATTAAACAAAATAATAAATTCCTAAGTTAAGTGAAAATTACATAACCAAAAAAGAAAATATTGTTTTTTAACACAGTGGGCAATAAATGGTAATCATCTGTATCATAATGGAGTAGGAGCTATATTGTTATAATTTACCAATATTGGTAATGCAGAATGTGCTGATTTCCCCCAGTTCCCTACATTCTTAACTGGTTACTCTGCTTCATGCTACTCTTTAAAACATGGCAGGAATTTGCTGCCAGTTATTCTGACCAGTCTTGGTCAGGATGGTTGGTCAGTTGTTCTGTCCATCACCAGAAAACAGCTGACATGCCTCACTTCACCTGCTGTTCAACGAACAGCTATTTGGGTATCAAAATAATGTGTTGATATTTCTTGATTAAGTAATTCTAAAGGTGCTTGTTGAACTTGAATTCCTTAATTCATGAAGATGGTATCAGTTTGAAATTTAGCAAATAAAACAGTTTTTTTTCTAGTAAGCTGAACATGCAATAAATGAACAATGCTGCAGTATATAAATTGTACCAAACTGGCAAAGATATCAGGAAAATTAACACCACTGACTATAAGAAAGAAAACTACAATGTGGCGCAAGCATTTGTTACGAACATTCTTTATTTATGAGACATTAGCCACCTAATTACAAAGTTCCATTAACAAAGGCAAAAAGATTCCATGGAACCAGGTTGTAGTACTTACTGTTAAGTGTTGATGGTTTTACAAGTGAGGGAGATCTGTTTGAAACCAAAAACATGATTTTCGCCACAAAAATGCTGTTGTTATGCTTGGGTTAACATATTCACCCCAATGTATTTTTGATGTGGCAGCATCTCATAATATGACAAAGTTAATTTTTCATTATCTAAATGGATAAGGACATAGATCCCAATGTACTTCTGAACCTAGTAATACATACAATAAGAAAACATTGCAGAAATGAAGCAGGTCTGCTCCATGAGAAAGTTTCTATTCTAGATAAGCAATCCTAACATTCATACTGGCACCTGTAAGGAATTGGGTGGGGAGCAGGAACTTTTACAGTACTGAAAAATTCAAATGGCAAAAGACCAACTGGCATCAGATTCTCTAATACTGCGTTCTATGGGGGAGTGGAGAGGAAGTAACAAAATATCTATTTACTGGAGTACACTTAATGTTATCAACATTTCCAAAATGAAAGAATCAAATAACTTTATCAAGTCTACTTTCAGCAGAAGAGAAAGATAGCAATTATTAACCTTGCTTTTTCTCTTTTTTTTTCAGTTTTATCTTTATTTCCATACAATCATTTTTTAAAAATTATACTCAGTTTTGGAATTAGAGAACCATTTGTCATTAACTTTAGATAAAGCATCTTTCTTAAAACAAAAACATGTTCTCCGGCCATATTAACTATATAACCTATCAACATAAGTAATTTATGATAATAATTACAAGTAGATGGATAATGACTGTATATGTGACATAATAGGTGTCCCACTGTGACATCATTACCATATAAATCCACCCACTGTCCCATCATGCCTGTAACAAGCTTCCTGTCACACTGTCAAAAGTGTTCACACCAGAGCTAACTTAACACCCGAAAATGGCTAAATATATGTCATCAGGGACTGTTAACAAACCCAAATATAGTATGCATCAGTCTGAAACATTACTTTTGGTGTAACAAACTTATTAACCTATATTAAGACTACTAAGTACTAATTTATTCCACAGCAAAAGAATGGTTGTTACACTGCAATCTGCTTTACAGCACAGTTGTCACACAGAATCCCAACATGGATGTGTGATGTACTGTGAAACCAAAATTATGCCACACTGTCAGGTTTATAATGCAGCATGGACAACAGGGTACATTACATGTGGTAACAACATCTAGTATGAGTGTCACATCCTGGGAAACACAGTCTGCTCAATATGGGAACACATGACATGTGGTGATAAACATCACAAGTAGATGTTACTTCTAAACATATATGGTACTAGTATATGCACAACATGGGGATCAGTTTCACATTTAGGGGATAATGTCGTTCCTGTGACAGCTGACATGTGACATTGTGTGACATCACATATGTCATGATATGTGACATACTCAGAACTGAGGAGCATACAAATTGTACAAGTTATTGTTAGGACATGTGGTGACAACTATCAATGTTTCAAGTTGTCATATCTAGAGGTAGACACCATTCACAAAATATCCCATGATCTGGGGACATATATTTGTGGCATCCTCCTGTTAGCAAATATAACCTTGGGTAACATGTCCATTTACAGTACGTCAAAAATCTAAAACCTTGTAGAAACTGAAAGGGGGGAAAGATGTGGGTGCTTGTGCATGCTTAATAAAACCCAAATTTATAATGGCAAATAACCACTGTACATATTTTACTTTCATTGACTCATGTCACACTGAATCACCTTTGATATTAAAGGAACATTTTATATTCTATATAGTTTGCCAAGTTTAAACTAAAGCACTCCTTGGCACATATCTTGAACAACATTTTACATTAGCCAAGTACCCCTCACATTTGCCACTGAGACATATTCTAAGGCCAAACCACTATGTTTAGTTTACAGCAGCAAGCTGATATGACAACTAAAACCTTATAAAAAGACTTGAGACTTTCAAGACACTATGATCAGCAGTACCTCAATCAGGAGACACAGCAGTGTTATACAGCAGCAGATAGCGCACCTGAGGAAATAGACTCCAAACATGGCAGCCGTCAACTGCTATCTAAGTGTGACCTCATCACTGGTTGTGGTCTGCTTCATCGAGTAAAAAATATCACACTGCGCTGTGTAGTCAACTTGAAGTCCTGCCTTTCAGCATTCTTTTTTTTTCATGCACACAGAAAGACTCCAATTGCTAACGTGTATTTTACTCATAAAAGCCTGATGCTAAAGCTCCAATTTCTTACCCCAATTATAGTTTAGTGAACAATGGGTGAGATCATTACTAAATGCTGAATGTTTACCTTCCAAAAAAAGAAAACCTTATGACAAAGACCAGACAACACAAGTTTTGATTTGAATACAAATATCAAGGTGTTGAAATTTTAAGGGAGGATAATAAAAGGAAGTGGATAAACCTGGTTACTGGACACTTTTTATAAATCATTGCCTTTCCATATTATATTTGGTCCTGCTCATGAATAACTTACCTGGTTGGTTCCATAATTTAACCACATGCCACAAAAATGAGCTTCAAAGCTTTGGAACACATTTCAATTCCCTCAGTATTCCAGTAAGCTAGACCTGAGCACAAATGTGACAATAAGTTTTCTCTGCACAAAAAGTTAACCAATACGTGGGGAAAATTACCTTGTGTGGTGCAGCCTCTGTGGAAGTGACCTCCATGGGGTCAATGATGGGCTGTGGTCTCCGGGCGTTCCCGATGATGCTTGCCCATTGAGGTGGTAGGCCCACATACTTCCCTTCAAGAGTGTCAAACCCAGTGTGTACGCGGTGCTCAAAGTTGATAGGACTAGAGATTTCTGGCCGTTTCTTCTTCTTGGCAAACATGATGATCTATCTGAAGAAAAAACAAGTATGGACTGGTTAATAGTTGATAGGTTAGGGAATACTATTAAGTTTAACATCGGTTATTTTTCTGAGTAAATTTTCATTTTTCATGGGAGTCAGGAAGTCTTTAGAGGCCTTTTACTCTTTTTTTTTAAGAATACAAACTACATTCAAAGCAGAATCAACTGAGCTTAACAGTTCCTTTTTCAATATTTTCAATTTATTCTGACAAATTATGCATTCATCTTGCGTGATATAAAGTCAGAGTCATTACAATATGATAAAATGTACAAGAAAAAAAATATATATATATTATTTTTCCTATCAAATATAAGGAGACAAAAAAACTTCACAACAAAGGAACTGGCACCTGGCTGGCATGTTCTCCTGATACCACATTTGGAGTAAGCAAACAGCATGTTTTGTTCAGTTGCCATGGATATAATAGTCACTACAGGGCACAAAATTTTTTTCATTACTCACCAAGGCAACAAGAAGTAGGTCTTAATTAATGCTTAAAGAAAGAAAAGGGCATTCTTGGCATGTGGGTCTGTTGAAGCATTTGCCAGTGTAGCAATCCACTACCTTCCTTTATTAGTTGTTTAATTGACATCCAGCACTGGTAGTAAGTCAACTACTCTGAAGTGCCAAAACATGAATCAGTTTTATTATATGTTTACTTTTCAAAACTGGTTGCAGTCATTTTCTACACATTTTGATTTCTTCAGGGGTTAAAGAGGCAAGCAGGGGTTATCTACCAGGTAATGACAACACTGGTGCAAAGGTACACCTCCACCTGTTGTAATATGTGGCAGAATATGGTACACACCAGTCCATGCTGTAACTGAAGGAACAAGAACAATCCTGGTACATATGGGTCAGTAACATATCATAATGATACATCACTGATCTAGCTGTCTTTGCTTACAATGGGTCTTCTTTGTACATTTTGAAAAAAAAAATTATAATTTAATGATCTAAAAATGAGCATTTAAGAAAAAAGATTATAATTCAATGATCTAAACCATGTATTTTGGAAAATGCAAATTGTGTATTTTTGCTATGTTTGTAGGCCTTCAAGACATTAATGACCGTCTGACTGTCACTGTGAATTATTCTTTTTGTCATCATTAAATTCTATATATTTCACTTCCATGTTCATATTTTTACAAAATGAATGTAAGGTTAGATTTTCTTGGAAGGTACAATCTTTCTACCCAGGATATTTATCATTTTGAGAGATTTTTCAAAGGGAAATATTGCCTGCATTGGCAGCAGAAAACTATTTTATTGCTCAATTAACGCAATAACTGTATACAAGATCCCTTTATATTTACCTTCAACCATTTTGTTTACAATCCTTTGCCCCCACTGATTCTGATTGTTTACAATACTTGGATTTCAACATCAGTTTTAAGTAAAATTCTTTACCCCCACCCCCTCCTCTTTTTGTTTTACTCTTTCATTCTTCTTTTTTTTTTAGGACTATCATCAAAGTGCATATGACCTTGTCCACACACACACAGCTGCCTATTGTTGGGACAATCTCATCAATCAAAGAGGACCTGCAGTCACTTGTAGTATTGCCTCTTAGCAATTCTCCAGACCTGTTGCAGTACACTCGTTTTGAAGTATACAGAGTTATCAATCACAACTGCAACAAGTACATCAATCTTAGCATCTGCAGGGCACTTATATATTTCAGGGCAACTACATATAAAATGGCATAAAAGAGAGACAAAAAGAGGTCCTGGGAATTAACGGGGAGAACCCAAGAAAATGACAAAAGGAGATCAATATTTTCAAATTTGTAAAGTTCAAAATGTGAGGAAATTATTAAGTAATGTGGAATGTAAAGATCCATCTCACAATGGCAAAACAAGCCCACATGCAGGCATGCACACACACTGTATGCTACAGGCCATTGCCTTACTCATTGGCCAATCAAAGCATGGCTTATGTTTTAAACCAAAAGTCACCCTATTTAAGTGGTTTACTAAGGAAATGTATCCAAAAACTCAAAAATTTTTAGTCTTAAAAACTCATTTGTGAATTTCCCCCCAGGTTACATAAAGCCACCCTGAGCTTCAGAGCTAACTTGACACTAACCTTTTCACTGTAGCCTATCTCCATCGTGTCAAGTAACCTCTGACCAGATTCGATTGCCTCCGCCGCCCGCCAATCAAATTTAAAAGCCCGCACTCAATGACTCATTAAACGATCTAGCCAATGAACGCGAACGAGTCAAAGCGCGCTTTGTTCAAATCCGGACCAATCAAAGATAAGGCTGAATATCAGGGACTTGCCGTAACCTGTGGGCAGCACGCAAATAACATCGTCTCTCAGTAGATAATGATGCAGGGCCTCAAACTGCTAGACCCTATGGTTTCAATTCCGATTTACTCATATTTTGCAAAGAATCAAGAGATAACTTAACACATTCTTTTTCGTAGTCACTCGCCTTGCTTTCTTTGTGTACGGTAATACACTCGGAACTACTCGGATGTCTCCGCACTCGACAATAACTATGTTGTTAGTATGGAGCTTGCGGAATCAGCCGAGGGTTGCCGATTGACGGTCAACCAATCAGCGTTTTCACCAAACTTTGGTGAAAAATTTTGAAACATGGATTTGATTGGCTTATATAAACTAGGTCAAACTATTTTCGTCAGAGGTTACTTGACACGATGGAGATAGGCTACAGTGAAAAGGTTAGTGTCAAGTTAGCTCTGAAGCTCAGGGTGCATAAAGCACAAGCTATATATGCTTCTGCCTAGATATCCTCTACTTCTTCTAGTGCCAGGGGCCAGGGATTACAGTCATGAATATATATTTTTCATGCACTCTGAAATTACATATGACAACTGCATATTTGTGACCTGGGACCCTGTATTTAGTTATGCACTAGAAAGGTGACTTTGACAGGCAAGAGCAAGCAGACCATATAAAGCAAGGAGTATGACTAATCTTTCTATAATTCTTCCTTAAAAAAAAAAAAAAAAAAAGCATATTCCAGGAAACTAATAAAATGCCCTTCAAACACATATGCAGGTCTAGAGGTTGTATGTGTACGTATGTCATGATATAAATCTAGTGTTTTATTAAACATGCCAACAGTAAACTTACTGGTCATACACATGCACACACTTGAACAAAGCATGTCAGTATACAGTATGTAACATAACTGTGTTCTGTCAGAATACACATAGACCCTATGATATGAGAGAGATGGTATCTGTGACCTAGATGACAGAGACCGGGTAAGCTGATAGCACCTAGACAGGCCAAATTCAAAATAGTGTTGAATATTGTCATGTTATATTTCTTTCTAAATTGTCATCTTTTGTCTCAGAAACAAACTATTTAAAGGCAGAAAATCTCTTCCCTACACTGTTTAGACTCACTGTAATGAAACACAATAATGAATTGCACAAATTATTTTTCACTTGGCAGCCAAAATTCAGATCCATAAATCAAATAAATGAAGAAACACTGGGGGGAGTGAATAAATATTTAACACTTTTCAGATACAAGAAAAGTTTCCTTTTTCAAGAAATGCTTCCTCTCCTTTAAGTGTCCCTCTTCTAAGTAAATCTACTTCTAACTGCATTCTTTTTTAAGAGCAGAAAAGACATGGAAAATCCAGCATTCATCAGTGTCTTCCTGTCTAGTTGAATAAAAGGTGCATCGAACGAATTACTCAACTGTCTCTTCATGAACAAATACAGCCCAGCGTGCTTTCACGTGTTTTCTTTGTCAGTCAATACTGGTGCTAAACCACAATTGTCCAAATGCATCTTATAATACCATCAATATTACCACAACATAAGAAAAGTATGTTAAGGTAAAGTGTGCTGGCATTCAACTCATTCCAATAGACGAGGTGTTAATCAAAACTTCTGTATAAATATTTAATGCACTGCCACTGCTCACCCAGAATACAAGGCAGCAAATGACTGGGGCAGGGGGAGTGACAAGTGCTCTAACACGGTAGATCTCTTACAAAATCTCACAAATTATATTATTTCTCTGTCTGTGGTCCAGTAGAAATAAGATGAAGCATATTGCAACACAGATTTTACTCATTTAGGTTTTAAATGGGCCCCAAGTGTTTTCAGAAGACAACTTCTGTAATGTGCATCATAACTCAAAATCTTATGATTGCTTCTGTAGTATTTACATGCATAGTAGTTTCTTTATCTTTGCTCATATTTTACATGCTCTTTTTCACCTACAGCCCAGACTGCAAATTAAGTTTTAGCATATGCCAAGTTCAAGTGTATCATTTGTTTTGGACATTCACATGAACTGTTCAAGAAACCAACAAGTTTGTTCTGAAGATAATTTTTTTAGAACTGAAAAGTAAAGTTCATTGTGAACAGCCATATTGTCAGATCCAATTTAATCCAGCCATTCAAAAAAGCCTAACTCTTGTTATTGCCAATCTGACCATCAATGCACAAGCACCCAAAAAACTACTTAGTTCTACTGGCAGCCAGTTCACATTCTTTCCCTTCAAGCCCAAGACAACCTGGGGAGAAGAAACATGTTTATGGAAGGAAAAAGACACTTGATCTACTACAATGCTGTTTTAGACCACATGTACTCCTCCAGACACCAGTGGTGGGTTTTAGACAGCCTCTGCATGGAATTATGAAATCTAAATAGGATGAGAAAAACGGAGTGAATTTGGTTCTCAACATTACAAGTTGTGCAAATAAGTCATATATATATATATATATATAAGGAATCAAAGGACTTTCAAACTAGGTAAATTGATCCAAATCCACAAGAGCTCTCACTGATATGCAATCTTGTTAATTGAATGACATGCATCCTTGGGCAGCTAGGGGGTGATTAACTTAGGGACCGTTCACATGAAAAATATATTTTTTTTAAATCTAAAAATCTATTGGCGGTATCTAGTGATCACGGTCTGTGCCCTGAATACCTTAGCGGTGTTATTAATGGCAACGCCGAGAATTAATAACAGCTATGGAAGTAACTGGCTCGTGCTGCCTGTAATTACGCTGTGGGGTATTCAGGGCACAGACCATGATCACAAGATACCGCAAATAGATTTTTAGATTTTTAGAAAATAGATTTTCCATGTGAAGGGATAACAACTCTTCACATGATTCAAAATTCCACAATACATACATTGAGCACATTCAGAACAGCGGACAAACAGATCATGGATCAAATATGGCAACACACTAAAAAGCTTGCTGCTTAATTCCCAATTTAATTAGACACTAAATAGGTTCCCCGTAGGGATAACGCAACACGCATCAAGAAGGCAGGCCATATTTGCTCCGCGGATCTGTTAGTCCTCTGTTCTGAATACGTAAGCAACACAAAAATACAACAGTGTTTAATCACAATTATTCTGCAAACTGTCAGTGTGCTTGTCATTGGACCATGTGGACCTTCATAGATGGCTAACCCCTGCAATAATCTCTTTAGAGATAATAAATTTAAAAAAAAAATGCTTTTAAAACAATTGACTAACTTCGAATATAGGAACGGATTCATTAACCACTGGGAAGTAAGGGAAAATCATTGTTTACCACAGGGAAATCTGTTTTATGGCACTTTTCCCACCAAAATGAAGAGTTGTTATTCCTTTAAGTGTGTACTTGGCTTAGGGAACTTTTTTATTCTGTTGTGAGTGCAGCCCAGTGCACAGGAAAGTCCTGTTGCATCACACAAATGAGTGAGCAAGGAAAAAGTGTGCAATAAATTATCTAGAAGTATTATGATCTATGGCTAAAATGGCTAGTCATCCTCTGCCAAACTTAAGTACCCACAGCTAAAAATTAGGATATATATAGAACTTATACCCTCATTACATAAAAAATACTTAAGTTATGGTAATAATAATAATTTTTGTGCAATACTGCAGTGATAATAAAAATTTCAATACAAAGCCAGTACCAAACTATAAAACCGAAATGGATGAAGTAGTATAAGCTAGAACATGGACTTAGGCAGGCAACGTACAAATAACACAGTAAGGCAAATGGGTATATAAAAAGCCAACTACAGACCTAATTTCCGATAATGTATCCAGAATGTATTTAATTTGGGTACTTAATCCATCTTAACTAGCCCTTAATTCAATTAGGTGATTGCTGCTTAGCTAGCTATTCAATCATGTTAATCTGAGCAGGGAATTATATCCAATATAATTCCCTGATCTGAGACAGGGAATTTAATGCTTTAGTTTTGGGGTAATTAGGTCAATGCTTGAACTACTATAAATAGCCAACTGCAGCCGATATATTTTAGAGCAGTTCGTGTGTTTTCTATATATTATTTATAAACAAAAGAAAAGATTATAAAAGGTCTTTTGTTGCCACTATCAAAATATGATAATTTATCTCAAAGGTGTACTATACACATTTGAAAATTTCCCAAAGTCATATTTTCTATGCCAACATATTCTGCAAAGCTACTAACTGATTCCAAGTCGGACCATTAAAGGGATAATAACTGTTCGTTCTGGACAAAAAATGAATTTTCCTAGAGGAAACAACAATTTTCCCATATTTACCAAATGTTATTAAATCCATTTTTACATTAAAAGTTAGTCCCTGGTTTTTTTCTAAAAAGTTTTTTTTAATAATCTCTTGAGAGATTATAACGGAGTATAGCCATCAATGGAGGTAACATGGTCTAAACTTTAAAGACAAGCTCAGATATCAGAATAATAGCTGTAACTGCTGTTTTTGTGGTAAAACAGAATATGTTTTATTTCTATGAGTTGTTCACAATGTTTTTACTATGAAATATAGATCTCATATGAAGAGTCATTATCCCTTTAAATCTAAAAACCTTTCAAATAAAAGTGCTTGACAGACATCTATAGTTCCTTATGAAATGTACCTGAAGGCCTGGAGTTCTAAATGATTGGCCAGTCATTTAGAACCAAATCAATTTGCAAGTCTGCTAATTAGCATTAATGCTTTCACCAATTTTGAGAGTTGACATCAACCAGCAGCTCTCATTAAGATTTGTCCTACTGGTGACAGTTTGATGGCAAAAAATGAGTGCAACATCAAGCACATACGATCCCAGATTAAAGAGCTTGCAGAGACAGATTTTATAATATTTTATGATAACATGATGTTACGATCTATAATCCACATTTTTCTCTAATAAAAAACAAACAAACTTAAATCCTAATAATGTAAAAAGAGCAGGGAGGCATGCCTGCTTTTTCACTTTTTTGATTGGACAACATACAAAATAACTTTTATTATCTGAAATAAGAAGTAATTTTGAAGTAATATTTTGCAGTTAAGCAGAGTTCAGACATTTGTCTAGATATAACACATACTTGAAATGGCAATTCAAAAATATCAACAGCCTTCTGTACAATCAATTATAGCTACAAGGAAAACTGTAGTTTCATGTACTCTCTTAATACTAGCTAGTACTTCAGAAATTGTCTATTGTAACACAATGCAAACAAACATAATAACAGCATACTTTGCTGTGGATCAGTACACAGATAATAACTTTTACAGTAAACTCAATGTAGATCTAAATAGCTTTGAAAATAAAGAAGGCTATTATTATTCATATGCCATGTTTTCACAAAAAGAAACTTTTTAAAATGGTGCATAGGATGAACTGTACATAAAGATTATTAAATTTGGATGGAAATACAGATATCAATTTTAGAAGTCTCAATAAGAGAAGCTTTCATATATTAAACATTGTTTTGTCCTTATAAATCTCATTCTCAGACAGCCATTGTTAGAGCAAGGCATTTATCTTCAAAAGGAGTCATAAATCATTACCACAGAAGTTTTTGATGAAGCATAGAAACTTTGGATTTAGTACACTGCACCAATCATACAGTTTACTCAACCGATCGACACAATCAGATATTTCAGACATTATTTAGATATTAAAATTTTCTGTGGCACTTTATAAATAAATTTTAAAACATGAGGGGGTAAATAACTGTAATTGTCGTAGTGTCTGGTCGATGATTCACAGTCGTTGGCTGATAATAATATGCATTCCACGAGAAACGGTGACTACTACTAAATACTATGCCAACTCACGTACATAATATAACTCTTTCAAGAATGGGCTCATACAAAAATATCACACAATTTTGTTTAAGCATGCGATCTGAAAATTGACTTGTTTTACGAAAATGATCCCAAATTTTCTTGAAACTTTGCTACATAGGGCATTAATGGGCGGGCACCTGCTCGCATTTCAAAAGTGCACTTACCGACAAAGTAGGTCAAACTTGAAACTTTTTCAAGCCCTACACATTAAACTTTCCCATGCTCATATCTATACTCAACGGTAAGTTTTTACGGATGATTTATGATTATGCCCCTAAAATATCGCCAGTGCTTACCAGTCTTTTGAAATAATAGATAAAATATCCCAGCTTCAAACCCCTTCAACTGTCGCCATCTTGAATCTTGAGTGTTGAAAACATCCGGGCACTTGCAAGGCTACGATAGGGAGCAGGTCTTATTTATCATTACATATTGAGGGAAAACCCACCATGCATAACATTTAAAGTACGTTAATAATGTTGATTTTTGTCTTTCTGGTTTAATATTTAGCCCCTTTTATATGGTTGTACAGGTTGTACCATAGGTTCTGGTAGACCATGCAGAAATCAATGTTAGCCAGGGAGCAGTCGTTATTTTCTTCACCAGTCTGAGGCAAAGCTTTTTGGGAGTATTTTGTTAATCATTCTAATGGACTTAGATGCTGACTTAATTCCAGTATCCTCGTTAAACTTATGTGGTAAAATTTTGCCCACGGTTTTAAACTTTAACGATTTTTAGGGAGTGGGGGGGGGGGGGGGTGTTTAATATCTTGGATTCTCATATTTTAAATGGATTTTATGAAATTAACTATAATATATATTTACCTGAAATTATAAAACATGGTCATATTCAAATTTTACACATTAGAAATATATTATGCACCATAACAGTTTAGCCTCTTTTATTTCATTTTCATCAAATGCGTCATGGACACATGCTCAGCTGTCATCTTGATCTATCACTAGTATAACATTAATTAGTATGCAAAAAAAAAAAAAATAATAATAATAATAATAATGATAATAATAATAATAAATTAATAAAAAATAAAATAGATAATAAAAAATTGACTAAAATCTGTTTACTATTTTAAAATAAATTTAATAAAATTGCCTTGTGTATGTAATTGTAAACTACCCGTATTTATTCCACTATGGAATACATGTACATGCATGTACTCATTGTTTATGGGAATTTATTACAAATACTAGCAATTTTGTTAGTTTTTCTGCATTTATGGCCAGTAGAATTTGTGGTATTCTAAAGATGTTTATGTGATTATTAGATTTATTAACAGTTCAAAGTGACATCTAAGCATGCTTGTTGGACCATTGGACATACACTTCCATAAAGGAATGATATACATTATATAATGGGTATACATGTACCGGGTACTTGCCTTAGAACATATAATTAACAGCAATTGTTGTAAATGTCTTTCTTAAAGTATCTGTAAACATATTTAGAGCCGGTAATGTTATTTATTTGAACTAGGTGATGGATTACCATATGCTTATTCCATGCAAGTTTTAATAAACACAATGTATAAGATACTGATTTTTAATTAAAATCAACCAGATTCACTTTATTTAACTGTCTTTTGAGAGAAAGTCATTTGGCTGTTTTAAAAAGACTTGCTGAATACTAATAAATGTCTCCATGAAGTTGCAACATTTGATTTCCTGTTTAATTTCCCCTTTTCAGATGATGGCAAGAGCCCTAGACCTTCCATACAGCAGTACATTTTATTGTTGTTTCTTTTAGATTATAAAGGCCATTACTGTAAACTATAGAGGGGAAAAAAAAAAAAAAAAAAAAAAAAAAATATATATATATATATATATATATATATATATATATATATATATATATATATATATATATATATATATATGCACTTACCTTCTTATTTATTCAATATTTTGATGTATCCAGAGAACAAAAATCTTCTTGCTTGAAGGAAGACAATCTTTTTTTTTATGAATCTATTTCCTTTCTTTTTAAAATTTTGACTACAGTAGTTTATATGCAGTTGTACATATTCTCTTTGTTATTATTTTTTTTACTTCACCTGCACTGGCAAATTTTGTACCATAATTGTCATTTGTATAAGACCCTTTTCACATTGAATTGTACACATATTGGTACTGAAATACTTTGATAAATCATTATCAAAGAATTAAAGTAATTGTGCTTCAGATAATTTCACTCCCTTTCACAGCTTCACAAGCTGTTTGGGTGAAGTACATGCACTAATATGCTGCTGTACCATTAAAAATAGTTACAATTAACTGGCTGTGTCAAGTGTGGGAACTTCATTTAGGGGATTCTCTTACTTAACAGCCAGACTACTATAAGTTGTCTATATCCCTAAGTACCGGTATTTCAGTACTGCTGGATGTGAAAAGGACCTAACCCAGTTCCTCAGCAAATAATATAATATAATAATAATATAATATTATATATTTATTTCGAGTCTTAAATCCGTAAAATGTTCAATAGACTGTACAACATAAAATACAAAGAAGCTTATAGATTAAAATGATTAAAGGGATAATAACTCTTTGTTTCGGCCAAAAAATGAATTTTCCTGGAGTAAACATCAATTTTCCCATACTTACCAATGGTAAATGAATCCATTTTTACATTCAAAGTTAGTCCTTGGTTTTTTTCTAAAAAGTTTGGTTTTTTGTTAAAATCTCTTAAGAGATTTTAACAGAGTATAGCCATCAATGGAGGTCACGTGGTCTAAAGACAAGCTCGGATATCAGAATAATAACTATAACTGCCGTTTTTGTGGTAAAACAGAATATATTATATTTACATGAGTTATTCACAATGTTTTTATTGTGAAATATAGATCTCATACAAAGAGTTATTATCCCTTTAAGATATATATAATATATAATAGAAATGAGGCATAAAGGGCATGCACATAAATTTCATTCAGAACAATGCAATGCAGTGTTAAAAATATCAAGCAAAGGTTTATGTATATGAAGGTTAATGTTCCTTTGTTTATTTCTAAAATCACAAGGCAAATAATTATGTCCAAGAACATTTGCTGGCATCTTCGTACTGGTGTTTCGAATGCTCCAGGTGTGCTAGTTGTACCTGTGTTCATCCTAGCACTCCTGCTGCAATGTTTATGATTTAATAGCTTATGAAAAAAAAAAAAAAAAAAAAAAATATATATATATATATATATATATATATATATATATATATATATATAAAAGCTTCTAAGAATCTACTAGCACAAAAGAAAAATAATGACCAGCCAGTGACTGCACAAATCTGCAAAGTTTTGCCTGTCCAGCTTATTTGTTTACTAGCATTTAGCTTGGGGATAGTGTTTTAAATGCCACAGACTGTATTAAACATCATACACAAATTGCACGTTGAGGTTGAAAAAAAATTTTGCAAAGTTTGATTATATTGGTTCCACATGGTAATACTATAACGAAAAGTGGACTGATGCCAAATTTTATTCTTTAGATGTGGGTTCTTTGATACCTTGCCTCCAAGGTTATTAACCATGTTCAGATATCAACATTTTGGCTTTTACCTGAATAATTGCATTCTGTTGGGCAGATAAATTCAGTCCATCTCTTGAAATATTTTTGTGGGATCTTAAGGAAATTTTTGACGGCAGAGAATTCTGATGTTAATCCAGTTTTTTCAGTCACCATAACGAGACAAACTTGAATATATCAGATGGTCAAAAATATCAACACTGATTTACAGAATTCCTTTTAAGTTGACAGAACACTTTAAATTATTGACTTAAAACCAAGATGGGACAGCATGCTTACTGATGGGATTTGGAAATATACTTTAAGCATCCTTTGAGTGATTACTGTTTTAGGTGGTGTTGTAACCATGTAATGCAACAATAAAGCAAGACCATCAAAAAATTCAGTATCTTTAATTATTCTGAATTTAGTTAGCAAACAAAAACAATATACAGAACGTTTTGACAGAAAACTAACAAATCACTTGAAAACTTTTTAATGTCAAATATCTCTATTACTCTGCTGATTTCATAAAAAATCAACAAACAAAATGAGCCTTTTCACTGACAAAAACTTTTCTCTACACAATAAAATATGTACTTTATACTATATCATAAGTGAGGTTTTAAACATAAGAGCCTTAAAAAGTGTCCAAATGACCTTGGATGCCCTGTTCCCTATGTAACAGAAAAAAATAATATATTGTTACCTTCACCACCAAGTCTCTGTCTCTCACTATTTTTACTGACAAATAGACAATAGCAGCACATCTGTTGTCATGTTATACATCTTTGGCTATTAAGAAGATAGTTGAAATGGTCAAATGGAAATAATTTAAACTGACATAAAGGTACTCTCCATGCATTAGAAATTTCCCCTTAGTCATATTCTTATTCTGAGCAGTTTCTTCTTCTATCCAGGCATTAGTTAAAGATGATTAAAACCCTTAAATCTTAAGTTTATCTGAGGCATATTGAGTGTCACTGTCTTCTCAGCCTCCTTGACAGCTTGCATCTGTATTGTCCACAGTACAGGGCTGCAATATAAAACATCACACCATTTCCTGTGTGAAAGCGAGGCCATGAAGGTGAATATCAGGAAGACCACGTCATTCTAAATGACTGGCCAGTCATTTAGAACTAAGTCATAAAATGAAAAAGGAATATGACATCCATTTCAAGAGCAGCGACGGGTTGAAAAATAAATTGTGAGTAGGAGAAAATTGCTCTTTACCCAAGTAAAATTCATCAAACTTTAATCACTCATCTCATTCACTATAATTGTTTAGCATTTCAGATATGTTTATGTTTACAGTAACAAAAACAAATCACTAGACTAGAATAACACTGAGAATGTATTATTTCCACATGTCAAAAAAGTTTCGGCTTTCTTGCTGAAATTTACTGAGGCTTATTTGACCCCCTGTACAATATTCTTTCATTAAAACATGAAAAAATGAAGGAAAACCAATCTGCAGCAGTCATTATTTATATGTAGAACTTCAAAATGACTGCTAAATGAATAGACATATTCCATTTACACATTTAATTCAACCCATAGAATTGCAATAATACTGAATCACATGGTACGTTTTTATTTTTCACAATACATTTTAACTTCCCACTTTGTCTATTATCTGGGCACTGTTAATCACCACCCATATACAGATTATTAACAAAAGAAACATCAAGTTGCTGTAATAATAAAAACAATACTAATGATTTTTTCTTATCCTAGGCTACCAGAATATGTAAATTATTTCAAGGAAATTCAAACCTCATTTCATTGTTTAATCAATTATGTATAATACATAACATCTGTAAACCAATTATCATAGTACTTTCCTTCCAATTCATTTCAATTAAGGACAGGATTTAAAAAAAAAAAAATGGAAAACATATGATTGATACGGCCTTTAAGGCAGCAAGTTTACAACTTATATTTATATTATATCATAGTTACAGCCAAGGTCCAGATATGTGTATTAGGTTCTGGCCTATGTCATCCCCATATCTATTCTTGAATTTTTTGACCATATTTGTAGCTGTGAGTTATGGAAAGTAAATTAAATGAGTTTACATTCTGGCTTGTGCCTCATCCTGTATACCATCCTCATGATCAAGATTCTCTTTATTTGGCAAACTATCTTTCAATTCGGTGTCAATCTTAACACCAGACGCTGCTTCTTCTCTAGTGCTATGAAGACCTTCCTGTTCAATTTCCACATCATTTCCGTTGCCTTCTTTTGAGTCTAATTCAGAGCTCTGTGAAGTGAGCATGTTATCGTCTTCCATATCTAGTGAGGCCATAGGTTGGGTGTTAGATGTCTCTTCCAGAGCTTCCTCTGGCTGTGATTCCATGGCAACATCCATATATGTATCTTCAGCTTGGGTGGTGCTGGAACCAGCTGCTGCCGTCTTCTCCACTGATTTTGCTGAAAAAGAAATTTTGCAGTAGTAAAAATTTCATCTCTTTCATTCATGCATATTTTTTTTTTGTGATTTATTTCATACTTTAAAAAAAAGTAACTATGTGGTTACTTTCTCTCATAGTTAAATTCTAGGAATCAAAGATCTTTTAAGTAGAAAATAACAATTCATTTTTTTCTGTTTTTTGACGGATAATCTAAACAAAATTCAATATTTTTTTGTTAGTGCTATTCTATTTTAAACACTTGCATTTATCATCTTTAGTGGAAGTGTTGTTGCCATTATCGCCATCTCCTCCATAAAAGTCAGATGGAAGAGGAAAATAATCCAACATCTTGCTCTCATAGAATCCAACATCCACAGGGAGAAATAGGCAGAATATTATGAGGTCAACCTGGAAAAAAGGAGAGTTGTCACTTTATTTTTAATTTGAATGTAGAAAAAATGCAGGCAAGATTGAAATCCAGACAGATTTTTTAATATGATTTTAGGACATTTAATAATTGCCTAATCATGGCTGAAATTGCTACACATCAATGTGTGCTTCATAAATGAGCTCGGGTCAGGAAACCATCAACTGATGCCTTTTGTTAGCATCAGCTTTAATGTGTATAAAACAAGCAAGTATTCAAGCATTCAAGTTTCATAAAAAATTTAGACATGTATTTTGCTACATGACTAAATAAGTGCGAAAGTTCCTTTACAGGACTAAGGTCCAATTTTGCTTCCTGTTTTTTATTCAGGCTGCATTCACATGGAAAATCTATTTTCTAAAAATCTATTTTCGGTATCTTGTGATCACGGTCTGTGCCCTGAATACCCCGCGGTGTAATTACTGGCAGCACCAAGAATTAATTACGGCTTTGGAAGTAACTGGCTCGCGCTGCCAGTAATTATGCCGTGGGGTATTTAGGGCACAGACCGTGATCACAAGATACCGCAAATAGATTTTTAGATTTTTAGAAAATAGATTTTCCATGTGAACGATCCCTTAGTTCAATATTTATGCCGAAACATTTTCTAAAAAACCATTAATACAAAAAGTTTCTGGAGAAAAGGACTCAGTACTACTTGTTAACCCATTAACAAGTATTTTTCTGAAAAATTTCCAAATGTTTAGTCAAATAAATAACCAAGCAATACCACCATATGACACAAGTTTTTATGTTTCATTGCATTGTGGAAAAAATCTACTTGTATTTTACCAGTATTAATTCCAAACTTCCCTCTGAAGAGGACATCAATGACTTTGCAATTACCTTTAAACAGGGTCTCCATAAAAATTGATAATGTAGAACAATACACAAACCTCAATCAAATATATAAGAACCTTTTATAGGATTCCGAAAAAAATACAGGAACCATAGCTGCAATTCTAGGAGCACTGGCAGGCCTGTAATGCTAATTCTGCCATTGCTCCTAGAATTGCAATGATTCCTGCAAAATATTTCACATTTTTTGTAGTCAACCTAGAGCATATTCAGCATTTAGCTACATTTTACTATAATTAAGTGGTCACTTACAGTATCTGCATTGTCTCCCTCTTCAAGCCAGTTTCTAACACAGGATAGTGCAGTATCGCAGGCAGGCTCATTGGGATAACCTAATATGATGTAAAAACAATCAAAATAGTACATCTAAAAATAATTTATTAATGTCTGAAAATAAATTCAATACGTGCAAGCAGAGTTTAAAGTGATTTCAGTAATTTGATTACTGTAGCAAAACAATACCTATAAATATCATTTAAGTTTGCTCAACTATACAATTACATGCAATTGTTTTTATTTTTACTATACAATTAAATCACACTTCTAAAAAAAAACACAAATCTATGTTTAATTTGGCGTAAAGAAAAAAATCATATAGCCAAACAGCATCCACCACTTTATATTTTACTTTATTTTATTTTATTTTATATTTTACAGAACTTCATTTTATCATAATACACCGCTGCTGCTGTGATTATGTACAATCACAACAAACAATCTTATAACAGGACTATGAGAAGACAAAACCTTAAAAATTTCACAGACACCCAAAATAAATCTTGGTAAAAGAATCTTGATATAATTACTTCTGCTAGCACGTTTGTATGTAGCGTTCCAGTTACATTAATTTGCTAACTGTTCAGCAGTAAAGATATAACAACAATTACAACATTAATCTAGGTCACTCAGCTGATGTAAATGAGTGCTTCTAAAAGGAAATTAATAAAAGTTAACACCTCTCTTTTTCACATCTTTGACAGTTGCATTTCAATATATTACATAACATGTCTCAGCTGTACCTACCATATATGCCAGTGGATATACAGGGGAACGCCTGGGAAAGATGAATGAAAAAGAGTAAATTCTAAAACTTTTTAAGTACTACTATTTGTCATTACTCCCAATCTTTTGATAGGTGCATACAACATGAGAGAAATATTTTTTTATAATCAACCAATCAATTAATCAATAAAAAACTAGACACTTTAGACAAAGAAGTAATTTCCATTGCTCCATTTTAGGTAAAACTGGCAAATTCCAGTGAACACTGAAATAATTTATCCCACTTTGCAATATTATCAGTGACCAACTTCAGTGTACATTTGCCCTTTATTCCTTGCATGCCATTTTACACAAGTTCTCAATCTAAACCATGTGTACAGGTTCAATGTTCAAATAAGGTTACTTCTAGTAACTTGAAACAAAAGATTTTGAAATAATTCTAACATGCATCAACCCCTTACACATAGTGGTTTAACTGGATTGCAAAACACCACAATAACTGTTGAACAAACTGAATGTTTGAAGACCTGCCTTTCACGGAAAAAAGCTAACTATCAGGTTTGAATAAACATATGAAAATATACAAAGTTGGTCTTTTTGCCAAACAAACCTCCTACAGACATAACAGTGTCTGTATATCATGAAGGATGAAAGAAAGCAAGTCAAGAAAGATTTCATCATCAGGCCTTCTTTTATCATTTTCATAATTATCTCATATAGAAAGATTTCATCATCAGGGCTTCTTTTATCATTTTCATAATTATCTCAAATAGGACATATTAAAAACATTTTTTTAGATTTTCTTTATCCCACTTTCTTTGTAATTAATTTCATTCAAAAATAAAAATTTGCACTTTTAATTTTTGGCATTTCATGCAAGTACACCTTTTTAATATATGCTAACTTTTAAAAATATACCCACGTCTTTTGAAATTTTTAAGTATTTGCATTATAAATACAAAACTTCAACATTTTGGTTGCAATGTTACAATTCAATTACAAGTAACAAACATAAACTGACTACTGAACACAAACTCCCCCTAACATAAACACTACACACACCCAATCTCTCTTGCGCTAGAAGTTCTATCACCTACCACTGTCCTCAGTTTGTACTCTTTCATCAGGTTCAGACAAGACACGTAGCAACTTTTCAATCTGTCCTCATTCTCACCCACTGGACCAACAGTATGGATTACATCTGAAACACCAAAAATTTGTCTTAACTCTTTGCCATTTAATAAAATATTTCGTGATTTGCAGAAAAAATAAGAAAAACGTCAAATGCACATCTTCTTTCAGGTGATACTTAAGGGGCCCGCACACGGTGAGCATTTGGCGCTGCGCCGTTTTCTCATCGTGTGCGGGGGTATTTTGGTGAGATTTTTGTCTCACGCGCGGCTGAGCAAAATTTCTCATGTGTTTGATTTTTTTGGTCTCTTGAGGCAAATGTCTCAGCGTGTGCGGGGTGCAAGCGCTGATTGCTCACACCATGCTAACAATGCGCATGTGCCAGTAGCCGGAAACAAACAAAAATGGCAGCCCCCAGCGAAGTCAACAAAAATGTACACAGTTATAGTTAGTCTGGTTAATAAACGTGGTCACCATTATCCATTACTATCAGAAAAAACAACAATATGTAATGTTTTCTTAAACACATGATCCAACAGTTCACAGTGCGTCCGCTAGGGGCAGGCCGGGAGGCACCTCTGCTGAGCAAAGAGCGCATCGTTTGCGGGGAGCTGAGGAGCGCGAGCATCTGGCGCAGCGCAAGTGGCGCGCGCCGAATGCTCACCGTGTGCGGGCCCCTTTAGTTGGGCTGGACCACAAGTACTTGCACTGCTGGACATGAGATATTTCTCGAGGGGGGCAACCACTTTTCAAAACCTGACTTATACCCTGTTTTATAAAGCCACAGATCCATTTCTCTTTTTCATTTTGGTATTACAGAAAAACTAAATGTGTTATTCATTGCAGATTACTCTTTTAGTTTTACATTACAGTGCATGTCAGAGGTTTCACATCTTTATACAGGTAAACACTAGGTGAATAAATATTTTTGGGCCATGAAAAAAAAATGAGTGTGAATACTTTTATCATCATACAATAATTCTGCCAGTACTTTTACACACTGAATATTATCTTAAAAATCATATCTTCTCTGTGCAGAAAGTTACAGAAATAATATCATAAACAGTTCATCACATTCATAATATTTGAGTTGATAACATAATTGTAAGAACTAACATCACTTACAATTATTAATAAGAAAGTTCTGTGAACTTTGCTTATTTAGCAAAATGTGCAATTGCAAACACATGAACATACATACAATCAACTGAACAAAGGTTACTTACATTTGGCTGGCAGCTTATATCCTGCAATGAAAGTAGATAATAATACAATTATCTAATTTCAAAGTAAATGCAAAGGTCAAATCAAACCATTAACCTGAAAGGCCAACTCCATAGGATTTTCCCCACCAAAATGAATTTTCCTGGGGTAAAGGGCAATTTTTTCCTACACGTGAATTATTGTTCTGGCACTTGGATGTCTTATTCCATTTTCAATATGATAATTTACTTTATATTGACCGGCCAGTCATTATTATGGCATTCTGTCACCATATACATGGCCTTGTTTTCACACAACAAAATGGCAGGGTGTTCTATATCAGGGCCTGTGCCATTTATAACACAGACGTTGCAAGCTAGTGATGGCTACAGTAAGGATGATGAGAAGGAAATAACGACACAAGGTACGGTTCAGATAAACTTTATTTAAAGGGTCTTATTGTCTTAAGAGTCTTAACTGGGAAATATAAGAAGCTTTACAAGATATGAATGTGGCTTTGTGGGATTTGGAAATGTAGGGAGAGAACCTCTAGATATTAATTTTGGCAGAAAGATCCCATGAAGTGTCACTTTAAAACAATATTCAATTACCGACTTTGGCTGAGGTCATGTCCTGGCCAGGTTCAATTTAAACCTGTGATAAATGACTGATGCCAAAGTGTACAACTGCTTTGTTATATGATCACAAATTTTTAAAACAATAAAAAATAACTTTTACATATTGATAACTCATTGATGACGAATCTGGTTCTTGCAGTGGTCATAGAGATCCAAAATGGTGAGTGAGTTGACTTGGTCAACTGACTAAAACAACTGCAGGGCTAGACACTAACTTTTATGAGCACCTGTCCTTCGGACAGGTGGTCATAAATTTGACCTGTCCGATTTTCAAACCAACCTGTCCAACAAAACCAATATTTTTTTTTCTATTCATACCTAGAACTTTGTAAATTAATATGTGTAGTCATACATTTAATGTATTTATTACCAAAATACTCAATCAAATGAGCTGGGAAAATGCACCTTAAAGTGAATTTATTTTCAGATAAAAAGTTGTTTTTTCATACAGTACTTGTGAACTCCTGAAGATTAAATCTTGCATATAAGTCTGATTTAACATAGTTCCAACCAGGGCTTCCTAGGATTTGGGGTACAGGGTCTACTAATTGTAAATCTGCAATTTGATAACAGATTCACATGAAGTTTAACCACAGCTAAAAAAAAAAAAAAAAAAAAAAAAAAAACTGAGCGGGAAGTGGGGAGGGGGTACTGTTAAATTAATTTTATTAAAATATTCAAAATTAATGATATTTGAATATAGTTCAATGAAAAGTTAAATAATATTCATTTTATAATACTTAACTTTTATTTATGTTAAGAATTTAACTTCTTTAGGGGTTATCATGTGTTTGA